TTTCCATTGAATTGGTACCTATGATACTCCATAATTCTTTGCTATTTCATTATAATCAGCATTTTGCCTCTTACAAATTTACAAGCTACATGTACATAGCTGTTACTGACTTTCTTCTCGTTCTGCACATTACTTCCTCCTCATTATTCTGAGCAACCTTTACATTCTTTCTTTACTGAGCGATTCTGTTTTTGGTGCTTTTTTGTACAGGCGCGGATCCACGGGCCGATTCTAACGGCCCGCCCCCCTAGCCTCCCAAACCGGTAAAAAAGTAGGATAATAACGTAAATTTAACTTAACAACCCCCTCCCCCTGACCTGCCAGTGACGTAAATGCGGCATCAAAATATTTGTGCTTCTCTGACCGTAATTAAATGCCTAAAACCCCTGAGCTTCCGGGGCTCCACCCCCTGAGCCCCCCACACCAATTTACGCTCGCTACCCTCTACCTGATCGTAAATACTTTAGCCCCCCCCCCCCCCCCCCCACTTTGATAATCAATTTTGGCACAAAAGTCGTACGGGGGCTGTTTCAGTGACATACCGTACCACACTATGACATATTTTCTTCTCCCCTTGCATTAAAGAATGGAACAGTCTGCCTGATGATATAAAAAATAGTACAACTCTTTCTAGGTTTAGAAGGTTATCTAAAACGTACCTACTTGAAAGACTGACATAGTTTTTATTTGCATCTTAGTATTTTCTTATTCTGAAATGTTTTTTGACCACTAAGGACCTACTTGTCAGTATGTGTGTGTGTGTGTGGGTGTGTGCGTGTGTGTGTGAGAGAGTATTTGTATGTTCTATATTCTGTAGCTTAGTATTTTCATCCATTGTATAATCATACGTAACATTCTTTTTACTGTAAATGTATGTACTTTGTTGACCATTCAGTTTATTATGTAATCAAGTTAGAATATGTTGATTGATGTACTATTACCAGTCTCTTTATTATGTAACAGATTATATCATGCTTTGTGTGGTTTTGAATAAAATGAACTGAACTGAACTGGAACGAGCAAGAAAACAGATCATTAAAAGGGATTAAGCGACAAATAATTGTGATTCAAATATTTGTTTGAATAAGCACTGCTATTCACCAGAATCTTCTTTGTAAAAACAACTTTTACAAATCTCAGCCATGCTTACTGAGTTGAGACGTTCCATTCAATTTAAAATACTCATTGAAGAAATACACTTCTCCTATAATGTGAAAGTGATCTTACAACACAGTGGCAGAATTGCATGGCTGAGATTTTTAAAAGTCGTTTTTACAAAGAAGATTCTGGTGAAAAGCATTGCTTAATATTAAAAAAAAAATCCTTGCATCAATTTGAATCACAATGATCGTTTTGTCCCATGATCCTTTTATTAAATAACCTTGTTTTCTTTTTTGTTTGCAGGGGGAGAAGAAACTATGTCACGTTAAGAAATCACAAAGATCAGTTGTATTATGCGTATATACATATGATAACAGAACAAAATGTTGATTATCAGAATGTCATTTTGGAATACCTCTATACAAATACCCGATCTTACTGTGCCGATACCACATTGTATTTAGCCCGTATCAGTATTAGTAGTTATTATTCTTTATTAAAGTTATTATTCTTTATTCAGTTCAGTATAATGCTTTTCCTCAAAAATAGTTTCGCTATTTTTTTAGGGTTGAGATGCTAAGAAATGGTTTCAAACGTACATTACACAAACCCTGAACCATTGCATAATGATGGTGGTTCTCTCTCTCTCTCTCTCTCTCTCTCTCTCTATTTATTGTAATCATGCATTATCATCTACATATAAAGCAGCAACACAAAACTTAGGGTTATCTGGGATAGGTGAAAGTGAGAGTTTAAAAAAAAAAAAAAAATTAGTGGTCCTCCTCTCCAGCATCCCCCCCACCGCTTTAATATTCACCGGTCGCCTGAGTCTGCTCAAAAATGTTAAACCCCCTAAACCCCCCCCCCCCCCCCTGTAGATCTGCCCATGTTACAATATCATTCAACAACATCTTGGTCTTCCTCTTCTTCCCAATAGGGACTTTTAGATTTGCGTGGACGTGTTACGTCCTTTTAAGGCACTGGCAGTCACAATCATGTGACGTCCTTTTAAGCACTGGCAGTGCCTTAAAAGGAGGTCACACGTTGCAGTCCACGTTCTCGTCGTGCAAATCTAAAAGTCCCTAATTTTGGTTTACTGGTCGAGGTGCACTATTTGCTGGTCATTTGAAATCACCAGATTTCAGCGGGTATACGCTTTTCACGACGAAAAACTTCTCCATGACCATGTTTCTGCCCTTGCGCGATCGCCTCCAGCTCCAGCAGATATGGGGCGGCAGCGTGAACACGTACCGTTACTAACGGCGCAGTAGGCCTATAACCACTGCTGACTGCAGCACTATAATATTCATTTATTCAGCCTAATCAATGCTTGACTAAATAAATTTAAATTATAGTTTGCTTTATTTTAAATAGTGAATGACTTTAATAGGCCTACTAGATAAATTGGCTTGACTAAATAAAGTAATAATCCATCAAGCGCGCGATTTGGTGGATACAATTTTGGAAGTTAGGAAATGTTTTTTTCAGGGTAAAAAGTGTCCGTGGATTGGAGTCCCTGTGGACTTGGATCACGATAATGCCGATAATACTTTAACGATGACCAGATTCCAAGTAAAGTTTACTAGAAAGAACCAATACCGACATTCAGAAATGATTTTCGGTGACTGATGTGTCAGATGTGATCATTCACAAAGGAAAGGTCAGCACACTAACAAATTATAGTTCTCTCTCAGCTCTCTTTATGTTCATGTGACCTTTGTAAAAGTTCGTTCCCGATTTTGGCGCATGCGCAGTGTGCAATTACGAACTTGCTTATTGATAAAAGAACATCATAATCAGATTATCCAACCCCGGAAACCCCATGAATTCATCAACTTTTATCATTGAAACTACGCTTGACCTTTAACTCGGATGGCAGCCATTTTTTATTTGGCCAATATGACCAGCATGACAGCCCCAAGGAGACCTGTAATTGATACAAGCACATCATAATCAGATTCTCTGACCCTGAAAACCCCCTTAATATATAAACTTTTATCATACTAGCCCTTTTCCTTTCGGCATATGGAAACGTTTGCTTGTATTTGTCTCATAAAAGAAGCTGACCACAAACTGACTCCCACACGGTGTTGAGTGCTCAGGGGTCACGGGCCACTGGCTTCATCGGGCAGGTAGTTCCATTATGTGAATGGGTAAATTAACTATTACAAAATAAAGGAACACATTACAATGTACTATAGGGACAAACATTGTTTTTGTTGTGCAGAACATACTCTTTTTTTTAATTGACTTACTTATTGCATGAAACTATAAAACCAAAATGCATTTTGTACTCTAACAATTGGATAATTTTACGATAAAAGACACCGATTTAGCAAAGATGACGTCATTAGAACCTGTTTATGTGCGCTTGCATCAGGGAATTCAAGGTCAAAAGGTCAATTCAGACGCTGATAAGTTATTGGTCAAGCCTTTTTGTTTCCTTTATTCCGACAAAATTATACAATCAATCAAAACAAGTTTAATACCAGAAGAAAGCTAACGATTAGTATTTTCATTAACCGCTTGCCCCAAAGTCGCTTGACCACAGTGAAACGAGTGAGAGCTTGGGAGAGCGGCCAAAGTGTGATTGAAACTCGCTATTTGCTCTTCTCCAATGCAAAAAGAGACGACATTGTGCTGGATAAATGTATTTTTTGTGACAAAAGTACAGAAAATTTGCATATGGTCTTTTTATATTATACTTTATGAAATGTTACCCGAGTGACTTCCGGGCGCCCCAATGCTGGAAAGAAACGCACATTTTAGAAAACTTCACTTTTTCATGGAAAAATGCTTTTTTGTTTTATGCACGCAAGTCAGATTGAGCGGATGATACAACGTTTCCATATGAACTATACACTTAACCTTTTACTCAGAGGTGGCAACCATTTTGGATTTGACAATATGACCAGCATGACAGCCCCAAGTAGACCTCAAATTGGTAAAAGAACCTGATAATCAGAATTTCTGACCCCGAAAACCATAAACTGTTATCATTCTAGCCCATTTCCTTTAGAAACTACACAAGACCTGTATAACATCAGATGGCGGCCATTTTGGATTTGACCAATATGACCAGTATGGCAGCCCCAAGGAGACCTCAAATCAATGAAAGAACATCATAATTAGTTTCTCTGACCCCGAAAACCCCCATAAATATATAACTTTTTATCATATTAGCCCATTTCCTTTCGAAAATACACATGACCTGTAACTATCAGATGGCGGCCATTTTGGATTTGACCAATTATGACCAGTATGGCAGCCCCAAGGAGACCTCAAATCGATGAAAGAACATCATAATCAGATTCTCTGACCCAGAAAACCCCATAAATATATAAACTTGTATCATACTAGCCCATTTCCTTTCATAACTACACTCGACCTGTAACTCAGATGGCGGCCATTTTGGATTTGACCAATATGACCAGTATGACAGCCCCAAGGAGACCTCAAATCAATGAAAGAACATCATAATCATATTCTCTGACCCAGAAAACCCTATAAATATATAAACTTTTTATCATACTAGCCCATTTCCTTTCATAATTACACTTTTCCTTTAACTCAGATGGCGGCCATTTTGGATTCGCCCAATATGGCAGTCCCAGAGAGCGCACTTCTTGGCATCCGGCAGAAATCGTAATCGTATGGTATAATCTACCTCTGGGCCAAATTTGGTGCTTTTAGAAGAATCTGCACCAAAATATCCCTAATAGCCCCCACTAATATGTAACATGAGAAATATGAAAGTAAATTAAATGAAGAATGATGTTGGAGAAAAATACTTGAAAACTTGAAATTAGAAATCTACTGCCTCCTGTTCATTGTGTGCTTTGTTCCTAAAATATACCCAAATTTATACTGATTCCAATATATTTACCTTTTCTTTTCAGATATTATGACCAGCTTGTATTTATCGATGGCAAACTCCCTATCAGTGAAGACAAGGTAAAGTGTATATTTAAGAAAAGAGATATCTGCATTTCTAATTCTGTATCTTATGTGCATGAAAAAAATGCTTACATTTTGCTTAATCTTTTAAATCCATTCTATGTACAACTATGTTGATGGAAACTGGAATTAGTTTTTCCAGCACCCAATTTGAGAAGATTAATTCTTACAGTAGTTCGAATTTTTTTTTTTTTTTTTTTTTTGGGGGGGGGGGGGTTGTAAATTAATATATGTAGTTGAGGACCCTTCATATCCTGAAAGCTATCAAAATACAGTGATATTGTTCATCCCAGACAATGTGTTCTTATCAGCACAAATAAGATACATGTACTATGTGTTCCTGTAGAGGAAAATAGTGTAAGCAGTAATATATTGAAGCAGTTTTATTTTCTTGATGTATTAAACGTGAAAGTGTCTTAATTCTTGCTTCATTGATTTAGATTCGTATAAGCTTCGAATGGTGGGATGCTTTTGACAAAGGATCTACATGTATCTTTGGTGCAAAGAAACATAGTAAGATTTCTTTGTCTTTTCTCTTCTGTTTGTTTCTTCACCTGACTGAAGAAAAAAGAAAGCGGTGATACATTCTTTCTTTATTAAAGTTAGTAATATTTTCCTAAAGATATAACATCGGAGTTGACTTTGGAACTCTGAAGTGCATGGAAATATACACTGTAGTGAATCCAGTATCAATTAGATGTCTCCAAAAATAGAATTGTGTAATTTTTTGCTTGGGGGTGTTATTTCATCTAATACCGTGAATTCCACTTTTTTATCATCAGTTGTGGCTGAATTTTTCTTTATATACAGGTTAATGTAATTTTCATGTTTGATAAAGTTTTTATCCTTGTGTCCATATTCTTGTATATCTTTCCAATTGTTAGTGTAGGTACTAAGGAGCATGGTGTTTGTCAAGATTGGTTTAATTCAAAATGAGTTGATATGATTTAATGACACAACTATTTTTCTGGTGTATACGAATAAGAAAAATATACACTTTCCTTCATTTCTTGCCATTGTAGCTGCATGTAGTGCTGCCTTTGAGAAGGCCTGTGTCCTTTTCAATTTTGCTGCAATGAACAGCCAGGTCGCTGCTCTGCAGAGCATGGATGATGATGATGGTATTAAAACTGCTACAAAACATTTTCAGGTATGTATGCATTTTACTTGATTTGTGTCTAGCCCACCAAAGATGGAGGGGTGACTAAACAGTTATACCGCAGTGTGTATGCTAATAAGGCTTTCAGTGAAGATTTATTCAGCAACTCTTTTATTAACTAAAATGATTTGTGAGCAATGGACTGTGCTGAGCGTGATTTTCATGGTGATTTGGCAGCGTCGCACGTTCGTAACGATAGCGAGCGTTATCTTTAGTTATCATAGCAGAACGCAATGTCGGACAATTCTTTGAAATCGGAGGAAGTAATAACAAGGATTCCATCATAGAAATATAACAAGCTTTTCGTAGTAGAGTATTTGATATTATAGACAATATCTGCCTACTACCCCTTCATCTTTTCTTGCTAGGGTCTGATATTTGAATTTGTTATTATTTATATATTGGACCCCCCATTGTATTCTATCAACTATCATTTCATCGCCAGACTGCAGCTGGTATTTTCAACCACATCAAGGTTAGCGTGTACTCTGCTGCTGAGGGGACACCTGACATGCATCTAGAATGCCTCGCTGCCTTCAGCTCACTCATGCTGGCTCAAGCTCAGGAGAGCTGTCTAAGGAAGACCAGGAAAGGTAAGAACTTCATTTAGAAAAGAATATCAACATAAGTGTTGAAGCAAACATGCGTATGAAGTCTTGGTAGTATAAAGTCAGATTTACAGTGACCTTGTATAAGTTCTTGACATATTTTCTCCAGGCTCTTTTTTCTGAGAGATTTTTTAGTGTAAGGGTTAAAGTTGCAAGGGGAATAGTAAGATTTATGGTAAGGGCAAAGGTAAGGTATATTTTTTTTCCAGAGTTGAAGATAGAGATGTAATTCCCACATAGCAATTGTCACCATACCCTGGTTGATAGAACCAGTTTTACTTTGTTAATTATTTTATATATCATTTATCTGACTAAAATTATGTACAGGATCAGAAATTTGGAAACCCCAGGACTCTTTTCTCTCTTTTTTTTTCTTTCTTCTATTTTCTAATAACATGTCGAGGTCTAACTTGTCCGAGAGGTATCATGATTGTATAGTGGTTCATTCACTTGACTCTCAATCCATGGGTTGAGATTTCGTTTTCCAGAATGTCACTAAAATCAAGAAATAAATCTACATTTACACTTTCCATCCGGTAGCATACAAAATTCATAGCAGTTGCTCAGCATTGTACGCAACCCCATTTCTTCATGTAGCATTTGGTCCAGGCTATATTTTGTCAAAGATATATGAAGGTTAAGGTTAGTCTTAGGGAGTGTCATTATAATACTCCCCAGAGAATGGAGAATGTGCATACATCATGTGCAGACAAGCCTGAATTTGATGACCAGTGTAATAATTTATAGCCGTAAAGTGCTTAAAGATGTCATTGATGTATTAAATGTTAAATAAACCCAGAACATTATTATCATAGTGTTTTATCTCCACTATTGATTCTTAGACAAGATGAAGGATGGGATTATATCTAAGGTAGCACTGTCTGCTAGTGAGCTCTATCAAGAAGCAGCCGAAGCTCTCTCCCCGTCAAGCGTCAAGAGTATGCTTCCCAAGGATTGGATTCCTACAGTGCTTGGGAAGCAATACTACATGCATGCCATCTCAGAATACCACCAGGCCTTGGTGTGCCGAGCTAGCGCGTCCTATGGTCCAGAAGTTGGAAGGCTAAGGGTGAGTTTAAAAACGAGTTTTAACCAGATATTGCTTCGATTTTATCTTCACAAACCTGAGATGTGTACATGGTGCCACCTACAGTTTTTCTACCCAATAGACCAGTTTACTAATATATGCAAAGTTATGGAGGTGTCTTTCCTGGGGACCTAGTAAGGAATTTGATATTCCATTAACCTGTTATTAATGAATGAATGAAATACAATACTTGGAATCCAGTCTGCATTCATTACGTATCGCTATGTTGGGAAAGCCTCATGCAAGCTTTCAGGGTGTCAGGAACAATCTTTGTTTAAAAAGTATGTATAAGTTATGATCATGTTAGTAAACCTGCCTATTACACATCTACTACAAGTTCCATACTCCAAAAAAATCAAACTTTCATTTGCTTTGGGATGTCAAAAGGCAGTATCGCAGGCTTGACAAGTGTGCTGATCGACACAAACACCAGGCACCAGTACCAAGGTAAACAAAAGAATTGTACTGTGCATTACTAAAGCTTTGCATGATTACCCATTCATGGTCATTGGTGACTTGAAAACCCTTTAAAGGGAAAGTCCACCCCCAAAATAAGTTTGTTTCGATAGAGGCAGAATAATAAGAAAATCAGGTGAGTGAAAGTTTGAGCAAATTCTGAATGAAAATAAGAAAGTTATGAATTATTGAAGTTGTGATCAATCAAATACAAATTGGCAACTCTGTGACTTATTATACGAGCTCTCCTTCATTTGCTTTGTGCATAATATTCCATAAAATCATGTTTTCTTCGTTATTGATGGCGGAATATATATTTGTTCCTTGCAGGGGGAGTGTAGAAACATATTTGCAATTATTATATTTAGGGTGCATGTATGGTTGAAATTTTTCTTGAGGGAAAATGAAAATTTTTGATTTTTTTTAGTACTGAGCAAATGGAAGTTGAGCTCGCATGATACGTCATAGAGTTGCCAATTTGTGTTTGATTGATCACAACTTCAAAAATCCTAAGTTCCTTATTTTTAATCGGAATTTGCTCAAACTTTCACTGACTTGTTTCTCTCATTTTTCTACTCCTATTAAAACTAACTTAATTTCAGGGTGGACTTCCCCTTTAATCACCTGTATGTACAGTACATGACTTTGTGTAATGTGGTAAATCTAGGATACATGCATGGCGCTCCTTGCATTACCAACATCATTACAATATTAAGTATACCAGATGATTCTATAATGTTGATAGACCTGCCATAGCTTGCATCAGAACAATTAACAATGAAAATGACATAACGGTATGCGGTGTTCATTTTTGGTAAGTTTTCTCTATTCTTGCTAATGCATGGAAAAGCAAATTACCAAATACCTTTGACTAGCCCAATAATGGCATTCAAACATCTTCTTCTTCTAGTAATCTTCAAATGGCTAAGCACCCTAACACAAAAATGAACAGAAGATTGCAAGTGTATGAGGAAGATTGATGAGATTTAATGGGATAGGAACCATGAGAAACATCAGGAATACCGTATTTGCCGGCGATAAGGCCGCAGCGCCGTATAGGCCGCACCCCCGATTTTGACATTAATAAAAATAAAAAAAAATAATAAAATTGTTGTTTTGTTGCCGAAAACCCACGCGGGGAGGGACCTTCATTTAACATCGAGGTGCAGTTAAAGGCGCTGATTTGTGCTTGTAAACTTGTCACAAATAATAGTAACAATGTCGTTTTTAGAAGAATGTGTAAGATCATTAATGTGAATTAAAAACAATAGAGTACCAGGTCCTAGGATAGAACCTTGTGGTACACCATTTGTTATATAACAAAAAATGAGGAATTATTATTATAAACTACATATTGAGATCTATTAGAAAGATTACTTTCAAACCAAGATGACAGACAAATTTTAGTGTTGTTGTAGTTTCCGAGTGGTGAGTCAACACACTGATTACTGAGCTGGGAGTCATTGCCAGGCATAGCACCATAAATCAAAACTAGAAAAAAAAAAATCTTTTTTTTACTCTTTCGCCGCATAGGCCGCACCCCAACTTTTGGATATTTTCTCTTCCAAAAATACAGCGGCCTTTACGCCGGCAAATACGGTAGCCCTTGGAAGTTCTTTGGATTAACAGCATGCACTAACTGCTAGTAGCCGTTCCATTCAGGGATGGACCTTTGTGAAAATACAAATTTGTCTCTCGGCTGAGGTACAGTACAGTACAAGTTACATAGATGCAGCAAGGTGTGTGTTTAGACAGAAAAACTTGCTTCTACTTTAATTTGATGATGGGATCACAAATTGTAGTAGGCAGTTATTCTCTTCTTGTTTTTAGCATGCAAGTGATCTCTTGAGTGAAGTCGAACGAAAAGGGGGCCAGTACATCGACACCAAGGACTTCGCTGCTAGAGTTAGTCAAGAGCTCAAAGCTGTGAAGAAGGACAATGACTTCATCTATCATGATATTGTGCCCTCCGTAGATCAACTCAGCAGGCCAGGCACCGCCCAGCTTGCCAAATTTCGTGGTATCTCAACACCGTTATCTACTGAATCAACTGGTAAGATAGTAGATTAGAATAGAACTACAAAAGCATAATTAAGATGCTCATATTGGGTTTTTCTTCTTTTTTTCTATGCTACTTTTTTGTAGAAGATTAGTACACTTCAAAGGGCAATCCAACCTTCTATGATAAGTTCATTTGTATGAAAGCAGGAAAAAAAGAAAAACAGATTGGTGAAAGTTTGAATATGAAATCCCTAAATCCATGCGAAACTCAAATTGGCATTTTGGTCAATGAATTGTGACGTAGTCATGGACATTCCATTTGTGATGTACAAGAATATCATAATTTGAGTTTTTCTCCGTCTGGGCACTACTCAAAATGTATTATGCATAGCGTAGTATTATAAGTCCTCTATTGTTTTTGCAGGTAAGACAAATGAGATCACTCTTCCATCCTTATAATTTGCTGTATTACAAGTTTCTCTTTCTGCCATGTTTTTTCATTCATATGTAGGTTGTGCAATCAATCTATCAATCTCAGTGTGAAATGAATTGTCATTTGAGGAGGAGAGAAATTCTTTGTTACTTAGGCCTAGTTTTTACATGGAATTAAATAAAATATTGCATAATCAGTGGCATTGTTTTTAAATATGTTCCCTTATTTGTTACTTTCTTAAGATCTGTTTACATTACTGGTTCCCCTAAGTGTTCACAATGCAACTGTTGCCTATGACAACCGTAAGGCGGAGATTGTCAACAGAGAAGTTGGAAAGCTACGAGAGGCAACTCAAGTAATGAACGGGTAAGCATAACAAAGCAATCTCCGATTTCCATTACATGTGATAATATGAAATTAATCATTGGAGTTCACATGATTTAAAGTACATGGATATTCTCAATCATTTACAGTGTAGGTTATGAAATGCTGACATGCAATGCAACTGGACATAAATTATCCATCAAAATTTGGTATTTTTGTGTGCTCTTCAGTACATGCAAATGTTAGTAATACAGAAAGCCATTTGACTTAAATATTCTGGTTTCTACTGTCAAGTATAACTCATGAGTGTTATGGTAATTACCCTAACTTGTATACAATATACTATTCTTCCTTTTGCCAGGGCCCTAGTATCTCTCAACTTGCCTGCATCTATTGAGGACCTGAAAGGAGATGGCGTTCCTCAGTCGGTCTTAGAGAAGTCCCAGAAAATCAAACAGAAAGGAGGAGTAGAGGTCATCGACAAGTTGCTCCAAGAACTACCAGAACTCCTCCAGAGAAATAGAGATATTCTAGTTGAGGTGATAACCCTGAGCACAAATGAGTGTTGCCATTTAAAGCCCCACTGTACCACTTGTAGCTACCTGCTCCCTCTATATAGAAAACAATGCCTAATTGGTGCCTGTTAGTCCCCCATGATCCTCTTTTTCTTATGTTAATTGAGAGCCGAGTTGATGAGATAGCCACCTCTCAGTGACCTTGCTGGGTGGTCTAATCCCTCCTGTCCACACTAGTACAGACGGCCTTTAAAGACCCTGTCAGAGGTGAAGAATGAAATAGATGAATTACATATCAAAGGACAGCTTACAAGCCATAGATTACAATATTACCAATTATATGCTACTTTATGCCTGTCGGACGAGTAACAGCTCTCTGAAAATTTCAAAATCTAAAGCTTTGAAAATCATGAGCTGTTGACCTAAAAACTAGCTATTGAATATGATGACATTATTGTATGTGGAGTACGCATACCGGTATTCACAATGAGTTCGCATGAATTGAGCACGGCTCATCGTCTCAGCTATATAGGCCAGCCGATCTTGTGCACATATTATGTCACTGTAACTGTGGCAAATTTGACCCCTGTTGACCTGTAATTTTAGATGTGCGGAAAATAAGGTTTTAATTTGCTTTTGTGCAATACTGAAAGGGAAACTATTTTGATTTCCTTTACATTTGTATTCTGCGTTCATTCAGCTTTCTATTGGTTCTTTAAAGTATATGTGTAGTTCATTTATTAGTAATGCAAGCAATCCTGCAGTGACTCGTCACCAAATTTGCTAAGCAGTCAGAGTTCTATCCTCATACAGTATTTAATGCAGGAATGTATTAATTGCCATCACATACTCTTGCTATCGCCAATGTGGCAATAATGGCCGGTTGCATTTTTGACAAAATTTCATGCCACTTTGGTGACTTACATACTTCCAGTGAGCTACGCAGTGGTTTGCATTTTATTTATATACACTTTGTCTGAAAGCTATTATTATGTTTCTCTAATTCGTGACGGCAGCAACGAAACACCAAAGAAGATACTTGAAATCCTAATGACTACATGCTCAGTACTTTTCAATAGATATATTAATGATTGGGATTATGTGTTACTAATAAAGAAGTAAATTAGGATGTGTATAATATCCTAACATTTTACATGCCATGCATAAAACCCTCTTGTAAATGCAAACTAAAAACTTATGCACAGGAAAATGCCAAAAAATCAGTTCTACCAAAATGTTATGTTAACTGAATTTACACTGCTGCCTGATACATGCATTTACGTTTTTGAATGATTGTAATTGTAGGCCATCCGTCAACTTGATGAAGAGGGAAGAACTGATGACCAGATGAAGGAGAAGTTTAAGGAGAAATGGACCCGCACTCCCTCTAACAAGCTGACCAATGCACTGAGGGAAGAAGCTAACAAGTATAAGTCCATTGTAGACAATGCTGTGCGGGCTGACCACGTTGTTAAGGACAAGTACAACGAGAACAGACGATCTATGGAAATTTTATCGAAAGACGAGGTAAGGGAATAGAGGTACAACATTGCTTCATGTAGCATTTGGTCCAGGTTATATTTTGTCCAAGATATAAGGTTGAGGTTAGTCTTAGGGTGTGTCATAGTCAAGTGGTTTAATCACTTCCCCGGTGGTGGGGTCACTCCCCTGCAAAGAGTGACACGTATGACCGTTACCACCAATGCATATAACCCCCTTTTGCGGTCAATTTCAAGGACATTTTGTGAAATTTAACCCCCTTTTTTACATCAAAACAAGGACAAAATCGTACTTTGGAATACCCCTATTTATAAGATTGTAAGGACACTTTCGCAAATTTACCCCTATTTTACTATATTTCAAGGACAAGACTCGGCTCCGAGAATTTTTCTTCCCGGTTTTCTCTTTTTCCTTCCCGGTTTTCTCTTTTCCCTTTTCCTGACCCCTATTTATCAATTTCGGGGACACCTGTGTACCCCTATTTTCTTTATTTCGAGGAATATTTTGTCCGCGGACATTGCTTGAAATTGACCCCTTTTTCCGCGATTTTGGTAACGGTCATGCGGTCCGGAAGTCACATTGAGTGACCCCACCGGGATCACTTCACTGGAAATACAAAGGTCTCGAGTTCAAGCTGCGTCTCAACACTTAAGTCCCTTGAGCAAGACATGATATCTAGATTGCTCCTCTCCACCCAGGTGTGAAATGGGTACCTGGTAGGATTAGCATGTGCGTGCCTGTAAAAAGGCGACTAGCTTGAATGCTGCCCAGGGAGTAGAGAATGTGTAATGTGCAGAATAGTAATTAGATCCATTGACTGGATTTAAATACTGCAAGCACTTTGGTCAGTTAATGGTAAAGTGCTTTATAAGAAAGTGGTGTCGCTGTTGGTGTTCTAGTGGGTTGTCTTAACCCTATCTAGCCCGGGGGGGGGGGGGGGGGGGGGGGGGGGGGGGGGGGCTTTAGAAGCCCCCCCCCTCGACATTTTTCGCGGTAATTTTTTAACGCAAGAAAATCTTGCACTGAAATTTTGTGACTTTTTTCTTTCAAGTCTTGCGCATCATTTGCAAGAAATTTTTCGAAAATCTGACCTACCATTACAAAGTCACTTGTCCTTTTGTCTTTGCATGTCAGCCCGAAAATCGCTCATTTTTGTGATTTGTGTACAAAACATATGGAAATCTCATTTTTCAAATAAAGAGATAAAACATTGGTTATTTGGTCTTGTTTATAGTTTAGGTGTTTATTTTGGGGTCAAAATAGTTGAATTATAGTTGGAAATGAAATAAAACAACAAAAACAATAAAATACATAAGTTAAAAAACAACGAAATACATAAGAAATTATCAAAACAATAGATAACATAAGGAATAACCTGGCTCATCCAATGTTTTTGGCTGTATTATTACCCCAAATGGTCTAAATAATATATGTAGTGAAAATTAATGTTTAAATATGAAGAATATATGATTTATTGATAAAAATATGAATGTTATTACCATATTTGCATAAATTACCATAAATATGCAAATGAGTGAATTTGTCAAAAAAATTGAAATTACCATAGTATTCTATACACTTCACTTGACATGCATGCAAATTTTTGCAGCGATAGGTCGTTTCACGGCCGAGATCATAGGGGGGGGGGGGGCTTAGAACCCCCCCCCCCCCCCCCCTCATAGAAAAAGTTAATCAGGAGTTCAAGTTATGTAAAGATTGATAGATTTTGAGTTGTTTATATGACAACTAATGGTGCTAAGTAATGTTCAAAGTAATCTTACTGGATGTACATTATTGATATGATTGTATCTTAAATTCATCAGGTGGAGATAGCAGCTTCGCTTCCATCGGCCAGTGGAGCTTCAGCATTACAGGGGTCACCTGTAGTCCAGGAGTTAAGACAACTCATGAGAGACGTTGATGAAATCAAGACGGTCAGAGAAGTCCTGGAGAATGAGATTAAGAGTGCCACTGTAGATATAAGTAAGTTCTGTTTGGCGTCTTCACTCTCTTACAAAACATGGTGTGTCGTAAACTTCTTGCGATTTTGGTATGAAAGACAAGCTTTAACTTTTGGAATAGCATCAGTGGAAACTTGCTCTAAACAAACAAAAGGTTACAATTTTCATCAAAATCAAATCGAATTAAAGTTTCAAATTAAATTTTCAGGTGATGGTACACTAAAGGAAACCTAGTAGCCATATTCTATCCCTGATTTCATATGGTTGGGATATAACAAGGAAATGTCCTTGTAGTCCCATGTATTTTTTAATGAGGTTCCTTTGGAGCATACCACTCAAACAGAGCAAAGTATACAATATAATTGTTTAGATGAACCTGAATCAAGGACTAGAAAGACTTCATGTATTTTGAATTGATATTTATGAAATATGTGTTTCTTAATAAATACTCCATTGTCCTTGTAATAGTGTGGAACGGTATGTCACTGAAACAGCTCCCGTAGGACTTTTGTGCCAAAGTTGATTTTTTTTTTTTGTTGCATTTTTGGATTCATTGGGGTCCAAGCTATCAGAAATTGATGGGGTTCAAATTTTCCCGAAGACACCAAATTTCCCTATTGCGCTTTATATAAGCCATTTTGGTGCCCAATTTGGACCCCCCAGGAAATGAATGAGGGGTCTGAAAATTTGAACCCCATCATTTTTGGCCAATTGGGACCCTTACCGCACTATAATGTGGCAATCAATTTCTCAGTGGTAAATTGGGGGAGAAAAAAAAGGCAATAAATTCTCCCATCTGTTCCTCCAGAAATGAAGTTCCTGGAGGCCCTAGCAGCAGATGGTGCAATCACTGACGAAGACGTCATTTCCAACTCCAACATTGACGACATGTATAGGTCCCTCATTCAGCAGGTTCAGGAGAATGTTCGCAAACAGGAGACAGTCCTCGCAAAAATTCAGGTATAAAACCCCCACCTCCCCTCCCCCCCCCCCCCCCCCCCCCCCCCCCCCCGCAAAAAAAGAAGACAAAATAAAGAGATATATATTTGATGTAATATGTCCTTGCTAAGAATGTATTTTGGAACTTTTTTTCAAAGAACATTGCTATCATGTTCTCTTCTCAAAGGTTACTGTCTACCACAACGGTATTAATCTCACCTACTTCACTGACATTGCTAGTATAAAGATGTACTCATCTTGGTGTTGAATATACTTATTGAACTTAGGAATTGAAATCGAAAAGTAAACATAATTGCAGTGTGAAGGTTGATAACAGAGTGTATGAACAGGAAGCTGCTTACATGCTTATGAACTGTTACATATATTTTCTATTTTTTTCAAGCTTATCTAGTACATTGTTTCAAAAAATGTCCAGCACAAATGTGATTTTTTTTTTTTTTTTTTTTTTTTTTTTTCAGATTTTTTATTAAAATTGACTTATGTCAGTTTGTGAGTTTTTTGTAGATAAGCAAAGTGCATCTGAACAAATGTCTCTTATTTTATTTTATTCTTTCTTCTATTCTATTTATTAGGATGCCGACTCGAGGTTCTGTTTAGCCAAGCAGACCAATGCAGGTGGTGAACATAGAGCAGAGATGCTGAAAAATCTAGCCACTGCTTTTGACATTTACATGGAGCTCACATCAAACCTACACGAAGGCACCAAGGTGAGGATTGACTATGTCACATTGATGATGGTTTAACCGGAATTTGGTTTGTTTGTTGTTAATTTTACCCGACTGCTAAGAAAGCATGTTATGATTGTAATTACGCAACAAGGCGACCACCTGCATAGAAAGATCATCTGTCTGTAAAGACCACATTTTCCCCCTTTAAAATCATTTCTCCCTTTAAAATCAATTCTCATCGAAATCTGTTCTGATACATAAAGACCCCTGCTTCTTTTTATGCCTCCGCTACAAAGTAGCCGGAGGCATTATGTTTTCTGTTTGTCAGTCCTTCCGTCCGTACGTCCCGTTCTCGTGATCACGTTATCTCAAGAACCGATTGATGTATTTATACCGCCAAACTTAAGTCATGTATGTATCTTGCAGAGCTGATGAATTGATTAGATGTTTGGGTCACGAGGTCAAAGGTCACAGAGCTCATTATGTATGCAAAATAGCTTGTGATCACGTTATCTCAAGAACCAATTGATGGATTACCGTCAATCTTAGGTCATGTATGTATCTTGCAGAGCTGATGAATTGATTAGATTTTGGGGTCCTCAGGTCAAAGTTCAAAGATCACATGGCTCATTATGTATGCAAAAATAGCTCGTGATCGCATTGTCAATACTGACGGATGGATTACTATCAAACTCTGGACATTATGTATCTTGCAGAGCCAATGAACCGAGTAGATTTTAGGGTCATGAGGTCAAAGTTCAAAGGGTCATACATGTAAAATGATAAATAGCTTCCAATCACCATATTCTGAGAACCTGTTAATTGATTACAATTAAACTTGAATTTGAAAATTTGCCTCTGTTTTGGTTTGTGAAATCGCTCTATGGCGGAGGCATCATTTTCGACTGCGCGCTGTTGAAGTTCTATCTAGTTTCTCCCTAAAAGCAGTCTTTATCTACAGGTGTCACTGTATATGATCTGGCATATTTTCTCATTTCCTTCTTTTCCTCAGTTCTACAACGACCTGACCCAGATCCTTGTCAAATTCCAAAGCAAGGTGGTTGACCTGTGCTTTGCTCGCAATACTGAGAAGGAGGATATGTTAAAGGATATTACCCAATCCCTGGCCCACCAACCCCCTGCAGGTGCGCCTTCGGCTCCAACACATCACGACACAGGTAATATTGCTTCTATAAAGGTTATTTTGTAAGTTTAAATACACTCTCGATTAATATAAAGTGGACTAGACGATGCACCCGTATATACTCGCATAGATAAGGGCCTGCATGGAACCCAAGTCGAACTTAGGTTACATGCACATGTTTTTATGTTACCGGTATTCATTATTTTCCTTCATTCTCCTTAAACGTTAACACATAGAATTCCGGGTAAATTTTTGACGTTGATTCTATACATTCTAGCTTAACACCGATTATTTTAGTGATTGGTACACTTTAACTCTTGATTTTAATACCTTTCATATAAACTGAAGACTCTTTAACATATTTTTCTTGACACATACACTCTCATATCATTCTTCATTTAGGTGTCTATGGCGGGCAATGAAAATGAAGTATTATAAGGGACTTTTAGATATGCACATCGACAGCTTTGACTGCAACGTGTGACGTCATTTTAAGGCACTGCGCATGCGTCACGTCGTCTCAGTCGGCGATCGAGAATGTGTGATTTTCCTAAATCTAGTACGGTACTAGTATGCCGCGTGCGCAAAAAATATACAGTTCCTCAGGTAGACAGAGGACCATCCCTTCCCTGCTGTTATGTAAAAATGTATAGAACAGGTGTCACATGCATATTCACCTGTTCTACACATTTTTACATAATAGCAGTGAAGGGATGTTCTTTTGTCTACCAAAGCAATTGTTGAGGGTAGAATGAGGAACTGTATATTTTGTCCTCTTTCTTTGTCCGTCATGTTCATAGTGTTACTTCCTGCATGCATGTATATCGTTGAGTGAAATCTAAAAGATTTCTAATTGTAGTCAACATGGGCAGTTGAGTACGTTGACACGCATGATCAGTCGGCGTTCGTCGTGTTCTCTAAAAGTCCCTAATAAGATAAGGTAGCAGGAGCATAGCCAGGGGGGGGGGGGCGGTGGGGGCAGTCGCCCCCCAAAAAACGCCGGCCTCCCCCCAAAAAAGAGAGAGAAAGTGAAAAAAAAAGTAAGAGGACGTAGGAAGAAAAAGGGAAAAGGAGTCGAGAACAGTACAACGAATCGTCTTTTTTCTCTAATAATTTAATGAAACCTCAAAACTTCAGCGCTTTGCGCGGAAAGGGGAAATTGAGTTCAATTTAAGGATTAAGAGTCGTCTTCTTTCTCTAATAATTTAATGAAACGTCAAAGCTTCCGCGCTTCGAAAGAGGGGGACTGAATACAGATAGGGATTAAGGCTCGGGAAAGGTACAACGAATCGTCTTCTTTGTCTCATAATACGTCAAAGCTTCCGCGCTTCACGCAGGAGGAGGGTGGGGGACTGAATTCAGACAAGGATTAAGAGTCGAGAACAGTACTTCGAGTCGTCTTCTTTCTCTAATAATTTAATGAAACTTCAAAGTTTCCGCGCTTCCCGCGGGAGGGGAGGAAACTGAATTCAGATAAGGATTAAGAGTCGAGAACGGTAATCGAACCGTCTTCTTTCTCTAATAAATTAATGAAACGTCAAAACTTCCGCGCGGAGGGGGACTGAATACAGATAAGGATTAAGGGTCGAGAAAGGTACAACGAATCGTCTTCTTTGTCTAATAATACATCAAAGCTTCCTCGCTATGCGCAGGAGGGGCAGACTGAATTCAGACAAAGATTATGAGTCGAGAAACGTACAACGAATCGTCTTCTTTCAAAGCTTCCGCGCTTCGCGGGGGAGGGGGGAAACTCCCTCCTCCCTGCACCCACCCCCCTAGGGAGCGCGCTCTTTAAGTGATTCGCACGCTTTGCGTGCTCACTACCGCCCCCCCTAAAATGAAATCCTGGCTACGCGCTTGTAAGGTAGAGTTATTCCTCTGTGCACTTCTCTTTCTTCTAAGTCCACCGCGCACTATACGGCCTAACTTTGATCGAATTTTGAAAGAATTTGCAATAGCATTTGATATGTAAAATCGTAATGACAGATTGACTGAATAGTCAAGTGATTAATTAAGTCTAAATTTCAAGACGTTGAAATCAGCTCAGTATCATTGTGATGTCAGACCAGTAGAAGCTGATTTGACCTTTATTCTGACTAGGAGAAATGCACTAAAACTTGGGTTATTAAGTATCATCGTTATATAGAACATAAATCAGGAATATAATGTTTGTTTAGAATTCCATATCAACTACGATTGTAATTTCTTTGAAGAGTTATCACAGTAGGATCGTATAATGTGCGGTGGGATGTACATATGGGTCATTCTAACGGCTGAAATCTTTCTTTTGCTCTGTAAATGGTCTTAAAGTGGTCAGATACCTAGGTCTTAAGGTAATCTCGAGGACAGCAGATGTCTATTCCATGAATCTTTTATCACCACTCTAATGCTTCATATTTTTCAGATAATCTGCTTATTGATTTTAGAATCTCTGTCTTTTACTGTTGATTCTTTGCATGGGTATTTCTTTCTCTTTTTAACATCTGAATGTTTCAAACATTCACTTTGAAAAATCATAATAACTGACTACCGGTAACACGTTTGAAAAAGAATTCCACTTTTTGCTACTGCAACCATGTGAATTATGTGGATTGGGAGCCAAGCTCATTAGTACATCTCCATACAAGTATGTACATGCAAAATCCAGTATATAATTCTTCTTTTTTTCACTGTTGGAGGGAGTCACACAACCTGTCAAAAAGTTCCTACATGAAACTTTTCAATCTTGATCATGCTCTTGGGAAGAGTCCAAGTATGAGCAGGATTTGTCTGTCCTATAATCTCACATATTATTTTGTCTGTCATCCCTCTTGACTCCCAATACACACAAATAACACAATAATACACTTCAATTATTGTGGAATAGCCTGACAACGACTACTGAGAGCCGGCCGTTTATTCAGTATGAATGTTTAACAAACATTTCTTTTTGTTTCCTTCACTGGAAACCGGACCGATCATGGTCCAGGATAAAAGACCAGAGGTAAAACTCAACGAGCATAAAAACTCTGGAAAACCTTATTCAAACACAGTCATGTCGTAACACTACATGACACAACGCACTTTTATTGTAAAGAAAAGTTGTCTCGTTGAAAGTTCAAGTTAGAATGATTCAATTACACACTAATTCATGCCACACTAATTCATGCCACGCCCTGGTCTCCGTGGCAGAATTAGCTCGCACACCTGTACGAGCTGCCTATGCAAATTACATTCCATTGGGGCACAGCCCCGGACCCAACATAAGTATGCATTCATTAACGATACAAACAACATTTGTCTGCTATACAATCGTACCGCAGACAAATAGTTTTCTTGTCACCATGTGTACATGGAACATTGAAGTTGAATCATGGTGATTATGATAGACCCCATAAGTGCCCATTTGTCCGTGATCACCTCCCCTCAAGACTCACTTCTTCTGTTAATAACATATTTGTAACGCGCATTTGAACATAAACATGTAATATGGAAAATGCTCTATGTAAATACATTATTATTATTATTATTATTTGGGGGGATTACGACTACCCAGTACTACTTGAATGAGATTGGACATTACATTTATAAGTCTCCTCATCACAGAGATATCTATTAATATCAGAATGTGCAACTCCATTTCGCAATACTTGTTAGTTGTATACATGTAACAATCTTACGCTCTGGTTATATTTTCCATGTATATCTGTACAAATATATAATGCAGTCAGATGTTTCTGTTTGCATGCATGGTGTTTATTTGTTTGTTCTTCATTTCAAACATCTATTCTAGATGTAGCATACTTTATAGAATAATATTTAGGAAGTATGTCATATTGAACAGCACACCTACCTGAATTTACATTTAATATTTCCTTTACTTTTAACTTTGTGAAAGCACTAATAGTATACTTACACAAACAATTTTAGCTTTAATAGGAAGATGACTCCCACTGGACATGCCTTGTTATCAAGCTAAATAAACCTAGGAAGATAACAAACATCTGAACATATATCTGGGTTACATATCCACAATTTTATATTTTAAGGAATTGCATTTTTTCTAGTTGTAAATTTTTTATGGCATTGACTGCTATTGACCTTCCAATTACTTTCAAACTGTTATTTCAAGTGAAATTCCAACATCAAAGAATACCGATACCAGAATTGCATCAGAGTTTTTGGTAGTCTTTCAAGTACTATAAATAATAATAGTATACCATACTTCTATAGTGCATATCACTATTTATTTCCCTATAAGCTGTACACTCCTTTGAACAGGGTAATTTGTTGGTCAAATATGTATATATATACCAGTTTTCAAATTTTTTTTGTGACTGCAGATATTTGTGTTTATTTGGTGCCCATATCAACAAAGATGTGTATCCAGTTTACTGTAACACTCCACTATTTTGATTATGTTTGTCCTTCATTGTACGTTAAACATCCTTTTGTTTTTGTCTCAACCAGCCGCCTCCACAGGTCAAAGAGTTCCTCCAGCAAGACCACCCCCACCCCAGGCCCCACCCCAGCAGGCAGCATCGGCACCTCAGCAACCACCACCACCAACAGCAGCAGCACTACCACCCCAGGCGGTACCCGGTGGTTACCCCGTACAGCCAGGCTCAGCACCCCAGTACCAACCCATGCCATCCTACGCACCCGGCTATGGTGGTGCCCCCATGGCCATGCCCGCCCCGATGCCGGCCTATAATCAGAACACCTACCCCCAGCAAGGTTACCCACAGCAGGGGTACGGGCAGCAGCCCCCTTACGGTTACCAGCAGCCCCCAGCACAGGGTTACCCCGGACAGGCTCCACCCCAGCAAGGCTATCCAACACCGCCACAAGGGTATCCACAACAGCCCCAATACAACCCTTATGGACAACAGCCACCACGTTAACTTTGTATGTCATTGTATAGTGTCAAGCGTATAAGTTCTGGTAACTTTTTTGCGTTTTAGCACATATCATTGCAATAGCAATTTACGTATCAAATGAAACTACCTACTTTATATTACCTATGTCCAAATTTGTGGAATAATTTGCCAGTTATTATACGGGAGTTGCCCTCTTTGGTATCCTTCAAATTTAATCTTAAACAGTATCTCAAGTCATTGGACATATAAGGGATTCTATGGCACCTAGTTACTCACCAATAGTCTGTTTCATATTTGTTTAAATATCATTATTTTCTGTTACTCGGTATTGTACTTTAAATATTTGATTATTCTATATTGCAAACATTCACCTTGATATATTTCAATGTTTTTACATTCTCTTTTTAAACTATTTACTTGACATTATTGTGTATGTATTTTTAATGATTTTATTTTAACATATTGTGGTGCATTCCTGTATGTATGTTTTTTGGGGCCCCATGGGAGACCAACTGATGTTGAATGGGCTACCCCGTACGAATAAATAAATAAAATATAAAAAACAAAAAACAAAAAAAATAGTAAGTTTACAAATAGATGAATATTAAATGTACATCTCTGTGTAGCCTTTCTAATGTTCTGTCAACTTCATAAATTGTTAATCCATGTTATGTTAGAAATTCAATTAATTGTTACTATTTTTACAAATCAATACCAAACAAATGTTATTATAGGATAGTACTATGTACCAATGTATTGTATAGTAAAGTATATCTGACATACTTGTTTATTTTTTCTACTGAGGTCTGTTTAAAACACATACATATAGTCCAATATTTTCTTCCGCTTGCCAATGAGGTGTTTTTCGAAAAACAACAAGAAAAAAATTGGAAGTTTGAGTGTGCATTTCGATGTGATTTACAAATATGACATTACATGCAATGTGTTGTTGCTTATTTGATAGTGTTTAATCTATATACATAATGGCTAATCTTAACTATAAGAAATATATTGAAACATATATTAGGTACAGGTGTACATGTATATCTAGCATTTTTATAGCAAAGTAAGTGAAAATTCTACAAAAACATTATAGGTCATGCTCGATATAAAATACTTTTTTTTAAATATTGAAATTGAAAAGACAATGATTGCAGATATCTGTTGTAAGCCTATGTGTGCCTATTGCAATTTAACAAATTATGATTAATTGCTCACTCACAGAAAATGAACATCATCACCATGAACGGTTTAGGTACCTCCATGAAATAGCCTTTAGCACCTATACTGCCCTCTTTAGTTCCCTCTGTTGTAGTTCCCTGCTTTACACAATTATCATTGGATGTTCTGTAGATAGATATAAAACTTATAAGAAATCAAACATCTAAATGCTAGCATTTTTTTGTAGAATATTATGTATGTTATTATTATTATTATCATTATGCAATATAGATAAGAGAGACGTTAGGAATAGGACGCTGTGAGGTTGGACGTTTCATTTCCTTCTTGGTCCATCTGTGTCAGGCCCAGGCGCGTACGCAGGGGGGGGGGGTTGAACCCCCCCCCCCCCCCTTTGGTATTTTTATGTGTGTAAACCCCCCTAAAACAAAACTAAAACCCCCCCCTTTTTTTTTTTTTTTTTTTTTTTTTAATTGTAAAAAAAAAAAAAAATTATACCCATGGCTGACCTAAAAAAGTAGACCTTACCCCCCCCCCTCCCCCCCCCCCCCAACGGAGCAAAATGTCAAATTTTCAAATTTCGAGACCAAAAAAAAAAAAAAAAGTATCCTTTTACCCCCCCCCCCCCCCCCCGCTTTTTCAGCGGCCGGTTGAGTCGTTGCGATTTTTGGGGGACTTTAAAAAAAAAAAAAAATGTCCTCTTACCTCTTACCCCCCCCCCCCCCCCCCCCCCCAGCTCATTCAGCGGCTGGCTGAGTCGTTGCGAAATTTTCGGCCCGATTTAAAAAAATGTTAAAACCCCCCGTGACAAAATCCTGCGTACGCGCCTGGTCAGGCCAGATACTCGCATATCTCCTTCTAATGTCTCCTTCTAATGTCTCCTTCCAAATTTTGTAAGGTCTGCCACAGGATTTAGAGCCAGTCTCCTGAAAATTCATCGCAATTTAGACTGAAATGCTTTTTGATCGATTGAGAAGAATACAAGATATTTTATTTGAGTTGATTTGGTAGAACCATCCTCCATACATAGGACTATTGTAATTATAAGGAAGCTTATATTAGGATAAGTTTCTTGGTCATACGCTTACAAATAATTAGTATTTCTTGAACATGAAATAATAGCTTATTTGCTCATCTTAGACAAAGTATGTGACTTCTTGAGCTTGAGCTAGTCATCATGAACGTAGCTCTTATTGATATGTTATTGTTAGTAGACCCTCTTCTCTTGTTGTTGGGCCTTGGGTTTAGTTCCTTAATTGTTTGTTGGTGCTATCCATCGATTTCGATGATTTCCGCCAGGCTTGGTGTGAAAGGGCATCTTGCTCTCTCTTCTACTAGATGTGTGTAGAGTATTTATTTATATTTAAAATAACTGATCTATGAAATGAGTATAACTTCATATAGTAATAGTAGATCTAAGTAACTTAAAAATAAACTTTTTTAAAGGATATATTTTTAGGAATAATGCATTATTACCATCACTCAATTTGGGTTTACTGTCTCTCTCTTTCTTTCATTATCTTTCTCAATTTTAATTGTTGAACAATACGTTGATGTCAGTTGATATATGATTATTGGTCCTGTGAAGTTCTATGTACCTTATAATTATGTTTAAATGCGATTGCTCTTGAGTGTTTTTTTTTTCTTCTTTTCATATCTATGTATTTAAAGTGTCAATTTATACGGTTTTATTGTACAAAGTATATATACATATAACTATATTGTGAACCATTTATATGCCTACCTTTTTTACTGTATGAATCCAACTCATGGTTGCAACAAATGAATGATTTAATAATAACTTTAGTACTGGTAGTAAAAACGTATTAACAACAAAACTGATAATTTATGGTCATAAAATGTGTGATGGATACTAAAATATCAAATGTAATCAATAGTTTTTTATTCTCTTGACACATTTTGAAGAATTTCGGTGTTAAAACAACCCTCGTCTGATACCCTTTTCGCGAGAAAACCGTCTTGTTTGAATGTGATAACGGTCTAACGCCCTCTCTCGGTTGAACGAAACCCACTGCGGTTTCATCGCCACCATGCAGTCAGGGACGTCGCCAAAGGGGGGGGGGTGTGGGGGTGCGACACCCCCCCCCCCCCCCCCCCCGCCCCACCTGTCAGGACATTGTCGGTAAAATTGCGCTGCCGTCGGGGAAAAGAGAAAAGGGGGAGGGAAAAAAGAGAGGGGGGGGAAAGAGGGAAAGGGAAAGAAAAGAAAAAAGAAAAGGAAAAGGAAAAGAAAAGAAAGAAAGGAAAAGAAAGGAAAGAAAGGAAAGAAAAGAGAAGAAAGAAAGAGAAAAAGATGGAGGAGAGGAAAGAAAGGGGGAAAAAAAGAAGACAAAAAAGAAGAAATAAGAGTGAAAGGGAAACAAAAGAAACGGGAGATGAAAGAGAGGAGAGAGATGGGAGGTAAGAGTCTGAGAGAGGAGGAGTGGGAGTAAAAGAGAGAAGGGGGTTGTTGGGTGGAGTCGTCTCGTCGAGGTAGCAAGAAAGACACGGGTAAATATGTTGCTGTGTCGGGTCAGCTGTGTCGGTATTCTTGCTCGATCCTCGTGTACTATATCAATGCAGAAGTTTGAAGTCGGTGAGATGTATATTGTCGGTCGGCCGACAAGTTTTTTTCCCTACGAACTGTGACTTCTTATCCACTGTGACGAGTTTAAGAGTGACTACAACTACAATACTTGTATTTTCTCGAAGTTTCACTTTCCTATAATATCAGCTAAAGAAAAATTTTCGGGGAAACTAAATTCAAACAAGGTTTAAAGGGATCCGGTAACTTTGTCTCAGATTCTGAAACAAAATTCTGGATTTAGCTCATGATGCAATGATAATTATAAACCTTTAGGTCAGTCACGAACCCCATGACTTTTACAAGCCGATCGCCTGTCTGATTATCAAGATATTTATGATTGGAATTAAACATTTTGAAAAACGTTCGCCTGACGGTTTTCATAACACTACAGTCTATTGGGGAAAACGAGTATAGTAAAACCGGTCACTCAAAGATTTTTACTTTTTTGAGGCACTTCTTGATCATTTTTAAGTGCAATTTTTTTAGAGCTTTATTATTACACCATTTCACAGACACTGATAACACGTATAGGGCCGTGCATCTCAGATTTAACATTGTTAAACGATCCCTTTAAGAGTCAACAACGGTACGACGAACCGTCTTTCTATTGTGATGAAACGCCAAAAATTCCGAGCTTCGCGCGGAAGGGGAAACTTCATTTAGACGAGTCGAGAACGGTACAACGAATCGTCTTCTTTCTCTAATAATTTAAGGAAACGTCAAAGCTTCCGCGCTTCGCGCGAGAGTGGAAAACTGAATTCAGATGAATAGGGCTTATTGAAAGTCGAAAACGGTACAACGAATCGTGTTCTTTCTCTAATAATTTGAGGAAACGTCAAAGCTTTCGCGCTTCGCGCGAGAGGGGAAACTGAATTCAGATGAATAGGGCTTAATAAGATTCGAAAACGGTACGAGAAATCGTCTTCCTTTCTATATATTGTGATGAAACGCCAAAAATTCCGCGCTTCGCGCGGAAGGGGAAACTTCATTTAGACGAGTCGAGAACGGTACAACGAATCGTCTTCTTTCTCTAATAATTTAAGGAAACGTCAAAGCTTCCGCGCTTCGCGCGAGAGTGGAGAACTGATTCAGACAAATAGAGCTTATTAAAAGTTGAAAACGGTACAACGAATCGTGTTCTTTCTCTAATAATTTGAGGAAACGTCAAAGCTTTCGCGCGAGAGGGGGGAACTGAATTCAGATGAATAGGGCTTAATAAGATTCGAAAACGGTACGAGAAATCGTCTTCCTTTCTCTATATTGTGATGAAACGCCAAAATTCCGCGCTTCGCGCGGAAGGGGAAAACTTCATTTAGACGAGTCGAGAACAGTACGACGAATCGTCTTCTTTCTCTAATAATTTAAGAAAAAGGTCAAAGCTTCCGCGCTTCGCGCGATAGGGGGAAACTGCATGAATTCAAACAAAATTAATAGGGCTTATTTAGAGTCGAAAACGGTACAACGAATAGTGTTTTTCTCTAATAATTTGAGGAAACGTCAAAGCTTTCGCGCTTCGCGCGAGAGGGGGGAACTGAATTCAGATGAATAGGGCTTATTAAGAGTCGAAAACGGTACGACGAATCGTCTTCTTTCTCTAATAATTTAATGAAACGTCAAAACTTCCGCACTTCACGTAGGAGGGGGTAGCTTCATTCAGATAAGGATTAAGAGTCGAGAACAGTACACCGAATCGTCTGCTTTTTGTCATAATTTAATGAAACGTCAAAGCTTCCGCGCTTCGCGCGGGAGGGGGAAAAACTGAATTCAGACAAGGATAAAGAGCAGAGAACAGTACACCGAGTCGTCTGCTTTTTCTCATAATTTAATGAAACGTCAAAGCTTCTGCGCTTTGCGCGGGAGGGGGAAAAACTGAATTCAGACAAGGATAAACAGTCGAGAACGATACAGGAAATCGTCTTCTTTTTTTATAATAATTTAATGAAACGTCAAAGCTTTCGCGCTTCGCGCGGGAGGGGGGGAGGAACTTCATTCAGCCAAGGATTACCAGTCGAAAACGGTACAATTAATCGTCTTTTTTTCCTAATAATTTAAGGAAACCTCTAAGCTTCCGCGCTTCGCGCAAGAGGCCCATCACCCACCACCCCCCCCCCCTCTAATGAGCGCGCTTTTAAGTGATTCTCTTGCTCACTACCGCCCCTCCCTAAAATAAGATCCTAGCTCCGCGCCTGCATTAAAATACATAGCTATGATGCCAGAGGCGTACGCAGGGGGGGGGGGGTTGGGGGTTTAACCCCCCCCCCCCCTTTGGTTTTTTTTTTTTTTTTGGTGACCTTACCCCCCCCCCCCCCCCCAACGAAGAAAAATGTCAAATTTTGACATTTCGAGACCAAAAAAAAAAAAAAAAAGTGTCCGCTTACCCCCCTCCCCCCCCCCCCCCCCCCCCCCCCCCCCCCACTGAGCAACTTTTCGGCCGGCGCGATTTTCAAATTTTCGGGAGCAAAATATTTTAAAACCCCCCCCCCCCCTTGAAAAAATCCTGCGTATACGCCCCTGTATGATGCTGACTAAATTGAAGAAATAATTCGTATATTTATGTCGTCGAGGAAAATGACCATTTTGCGCATATGCAAGTACTATAGATAGTCCATAGCAAAACAATTTAACCTTCGGCCCCAGGTTTATAGGGTTGAATTTGTAGATATTGGACATTTAATTTTGTCGGTAATTGGTGGCTAGTTTTGTCGGTAATCGTTGGCCTCTACACCCAGGCGCGGGTCCAGGATTTCTTAGGGGAGGGGGCCCAACTTTTTTTTTTTTTTGCTCCAGAAAATTTGAAAATCGCGCCGGCCGAAAAGTCGCTCAGTGGGGGGGGGGGGGGGGGGGGGGGGAAGGTACAGAGCACAATTTTTTTTTTTTTTTTTTTTTTTTTTTTTTTGCTCCCGAAAATTTGAAAAACGCGCCGGCCAAAAATTCGCTCAGTGGGGGGGGGGGGGGGGGGGGGGGGGGGGGGGGGGGGGGGGGGGGGGGGGGGGGGGGGGGGGGGGGGGCGGGGTAGTGAGCACTTTTTTTTTTTTTGATCCTCAAAAAAAATTCAATTTGCACCCCCCCCCCCCCCCCCCCTTGAGCGCCAGGGGGGGGCCCAACCCCCAAAAAAGGTAAAAATCACGTGATTTTACATGATTTTTTTCTCATGGGGGGCCCGGGCCCCCCCCCTGGATCCGCCACTGTCTACCCCCCCCCCCCCCCCCCCCCCACTGAAAAAGGTCTAGCGACGCCCCTGCATGCAGTCAGTACGCCGCTGCACGAAAACCGCCCGTATTTATCGTAGTCGTGTGCAAGCCCAGCGGTCAATATGAATACGTAATGAGCACACGAGCTTAAAAACATCGACTTGTTTCCACCTACACAAAATGGTATCTTGCTAATGATTTAGCATGAACGATATGTCAAATTGAAGACAAGAAACTGCTCTTTCATTAATCTGAATTAGAAATAAACTGGACTCCATTACCTTATGAAATATTTCCTGTCAAGTACAAGCTTACCTTTTCAGAATTTTCATCGAGTTTATGATGAAAGTGAATGCATAAAAAACGTATAAAACGAGTAGGAACCTCATCAATCTTTATATTTTTGGAAAGTTTAGACATCATTCTTTGTATGGTGTGAAGATCACATTTTGAAGGCACTAAAAAACATTTTCAAAATTTACGTAAAGACGCGGATGAAAGGACATAACGTCCAAATGTCGAAAACCAATTGAATATATTATGTTGAGTAGGCCTATTTTTTATGCTCCTTCGGAAAATGAATAAGAAATTGAGAAATTGAGAAAAGAAGCAATATTATCCCATTTTTACTCTTTTCATCAGATGCTGCCTATTTGAGAACATCAAGCTTGATATAAAATATGATGAAATGATAAACATGAAGAGTTATAACATTTGTATTGATTATAACAACAAATTTTTAGAAATAAAATATACAATTTTTATTTTTGGGTCATGCATGTGCTTATGTTTTTGAATTCCTATACGATAGGTGATTAATTGATGGATTTGATGATTGATTTATTAATAGCTAGAAATGGGAAGTGGTGGTTCTACAATTAGATCTGTTTCTGTACGTACCAGCAGGTCAAATTAAAATACATTTATTTCAACATTTCAAAATGATTATCTACTTAATCTTACAGATCTGTTTAAAGTAAAATAGAATGGGGTTAGCCAGTTAATTGGGCCGTTGTTCTTATCATATAGCCAGTCCAATTGTTTTCAAAATTCAAAATATATATTATTCAAAAATCTAGAACATCTCTTTAGGTGTGATTAATGTTAGATGTGCAATTCAACATTGCTATCGTTCTTTTAAGCTAGAGGATCCCAGCATATTATGGGGCAAACCCCCCCCCCCCCCTCCCCCTGCAGAAATGTCCAATATGTATATATATATATATATATATATATATATATATATATATATATATATATATACACCGCCTGTAGAATCTCTTTATCATGAGCACATAGCTGGTATGCATATGATAATACACCACTGCTAATAATCCAATGGACTACTAGTAAAAATCATATTTTGTTTGTTTATTCCATCCTAGTATGTGTGAAAACATCTGAGTAAAGCTCTCGTGATAACAAGCTAGCATAACGTCATACCTAACTTGAGCATATGAAACAAAATATGAAGTGTATGTAGTCTAGTTCGAAGACTTTATTTATGACGAACAGAGCCAATTCTACCAACGCTGTGCACATTCGTTGGCACAGCTTTTCCAGATATTTTGTTAAAGGTTCTGAAAAGCTAGAATACCAAAATGGCGAATTTTCTTGCAGTACCACCTAAAAGTAGCTCCGAAGTGGAGCTTCAAAGACCTTTACAAAACTTTATCAAGAATACTTACTCTGATTCTGGAGAAGGAGATGACTTTTCCCAACAAGTCAAGGAATTTTCGAAACAAAGGACCAACGCTGTGTGCAGGAAACTGGATAAACATGCCAATTCTCTGGATATGCTGGCAAAGTAAGCAATTCTATAATGTTGTCCCATATGTTGCATTTTGTGTAGGTAACCGGATGTCTCTTTTCTGAGCTGCATGCAGTGCTGAGTCAGTGAGTGTCACTGACATAGCACTTTTAGTTTTAGTAGCATTACTATCATGGCTGTGTATTTACATGATTAAGAAGGGCAACACTGTACTGCAGTACATTCACTCAATATTTTGTCGAAAACCTGCTGTAGACCTAGACTAGATCTAGATCTAGATAGATCTATAAATGTATGATATGAATTTTGATAAACAATTTAATGAATCAATGTTGATGACAAAATAAGTAACGAATGGAACTTGCAAGTTTCATTGACATTGGTGAAAATTTCCTTGGTTTTCCAGATATCTGAGCCACTTTTACCGACTAGGCCAACCGTCTTCAGTTATATTTTGCCATTTTCTAATTTTATGACATTTCTTCAATTGTTTATCGCATTTGTATATCGTTGCGATTATGTGGACTGTTTTTTGCACACTGTACAGATCATGGTCTCAGCTAAAGTAGACCTCTAACAGAGAACTCACCGATAGATCCAAGATGTCCGTTGTCGTCCTTGCTGTGTTGCTGTGATGCTCCGATGCTTCGGAATCTTCGCTGTAGATGGTTTACTTCTGTGTTCGGGTTCTGTTCTGTTCTGATGGGCAGCGGGATAAAACCTGCTTATATAGGGCGCACGCATGTACATGTACGTGCGATCGAGCTTGGAAAGCCATCCGACGCACGCACATGCGTGTGGTCCGTATTGCTAATTTCCCATATTCCTCCCAACTAAATAGACTAAATTATACTATATATTTATCATGATCTAGATTAAAGTGTCCCAGTAACATTTACCTCCGATCCTGAAGCAAAAATCCTGGATTTAACTCATGCCATAAACGTAATTATAAACCTTACGGCCCTCAAAAATCCCATAACCTTTATAAACAGATCGCCTGTCTGCATTTAATGATCCAGACATTTATAATTGGAAATCAAAATTTCACTTTTCGTTATCCTAACTTATTTTGTAACACTACAGTCTATTAGGAAAAAGGAGTACCGGTATATATCCCAGATCTTGATAGCACGTAGGGCCATGCATCTCAGATCCATAAACTAATTAATACTACACTAATTTGTATTATACCTTTGTCATTATCTATATGTATAATGTCTAATGTATCAATATTAATGAATACTATTGTATTATGTACCTATGTATAATGTATTAATATATTAATTAAATAATAACACACACTATTTAATAATAGCTAATTCTTATATAGTGCGTCAGAACTTACTGACTTACTTACTTACTTAACTTAACTAACTTAATATATTAATCAATAATAAAGCAATAATAGCTAGTTCTTATATAGCTCTTTTCAGGACTGACTGACTTGCTAACTTAACTAACTTATATTATTCATTTATACCCCGAATCATTTATCGGCAGATATCCCAATCCCAAATCTAGAGAGGGATCCGAGAGACTCAAACCTAATCCCCCCTAGTGGGAAGGGTAAAACTTTGGAAAAAAGGGAAATAAATGAGCTTAAATACCTAACCAAACATCTTATAAAGCGCTTGGCCATTTCTCACTGTCTGTCTCATCAGGTCGGCTAGGGGCAGTCCCCGCAGATCTGCGACTATCGCCCCCACATCACCCAGGAAGTCTGGTGAATTATCATCCATTCCTGGATGAGGGGGGAGATGGGGAGAATCGATCTCCAGGACCACGCGATCTGCGGCCACCGCCCGTAATCCCCTGACCTGTGATGAGGTGAAATGCCGGGCCAACCCCGAAAAGCCAAAATAGCAATGGGGGAAGGCTATGGCCCAGGCTTTCACCTGAACTTCATCAGAATTGAAACAGTGAAGATGGATCCCCTGAAGTGGGGAGCAGTGTCGTATGAGAAGCCTCCGGCTCAACCTGTGCATCGCATAGCTAGTATCTGCGTGTGCCCCCCCCCCCCTCGTAGGTAAGATGATTACCCTCCCCTGGGTGCCCTGACCTAGGAGGCAAAGGAACAACACCTCTTGGTCTGTCCACCGCTGGGAAGGGACCGAAAAGTCGAAACCGACCTCACTCATCCCAACCACGAGTGGGTTCTGCAACAGGGCGACAAACCGTCCCCAATCTTCATCTGAGTATGCCGTGGCATGTTTGGGATGAATCCCGATGGCCAGCTTCCAGCCACTACCCCCAATTGATGACCTCAAGGCCAGCACCCGACTAAGGAATTTGGGGTCCCTGTAAAAGGTGGGGTCACAAAAATTCATGACCCCCCCCCCCCCAACCAACATGATAGGGTGCTCAGGCAAGATGTTGGCTTGTTGATGCCTGCTCCACACCTATCCGGGTGAAAATGGGTATCAAACCCGGATAGTGGGATGGCATTCGAAGGGTAGACGCTGGAAGCCATAACTCTGCTCATATAATTGAGCATTCCTCTCTCCCTACCCCCCGGCATGGGTGGGCTCTCTAGAGCTTCAAATCCTCCCATAGCCCCTGGAGGAGGTGGGCTCCTCAAAGGAAGAGCACCAAGCCCCCTCCCCATACCCCCTGGAGGAGGTGGGCTCCTCAAAGGAAGAGCACCAAGCCCCCTCCCCATACCCCCTGGAGGAGGTGGGCTCCTCAAAAGAAGAGCACCAAGCCCCCTCCCCCTACCTACTGGAGTGGGTGGGCAATTCATAAGAGCCCCACGCCCCCTCCCCTCTTAGTTCGAGTATGCGTACTCCGGGCTCCGGCTGGGGCAAGGGGAACTCCTCCAGCGGCTGAAGCCGACTGAGGTGAATCCCTTGCCCCTCAGACGTCTAAGGCGGACCCTGGGGGTGGGGGTGGCCCCATTCTTACCCTTAAAGGGTCTCCTTCCTCGCCTTCGAAGGCCTCGCCGGCATGGACTTCCATTACATCAGGGTCCATACCTGCAAAGAAGAAAGGAAATGGGTTACCTACACTTGCAGAAAGGACAGAAGTACTTATCAATGCTCATTCTCTCTGCAGGGGTAACACCAACACACTCACCATTCATCGCACCCATCGCACTGAATCATAAGGGAACCGTCATCAGGCGTCCTGCAATAGCAGTATTTTTCCTTTCTCCAGTTTGGATTGGGAAGTTCACTAAGATCAGAGCACTTCTTCAACTGATCATGGTTTAAGGTCAGGGCCTTGTTACGGTAAACAACTCGGTATATATAGGGTGTGTTTCTCTGTACGATGAAAGCTGGACCTCTCCAGGGAGGTTGCAGTTTCCTGCATTTTCCCTTGGGGGTCGCCAAATCCAAAAGGTACACCCTATCACCCTCCTTAAACTGACGTACATATACCTTTACGTCATAATCCCGCTTCATCCGTCGCTGCGTCAACCTGAGGGTAGCTCTCGCAGCGTTATGTGTGTTATGAATACTTTCTACGAGCTTTGCTGAATATTCATCAAGCGAGCGGTCAGGGACGGATGGGGGAAGGGGAAAAACTAGCTCTGCTGGCTGATTGGTTTCACGCCCCAACATCAATTCTAAAAGTAATGTGGTACATGTAGGTGTTGCAAAATAGCGATTTTTCACCACAAAATATTCAGTTTTAAAGCCACACTGTCCTACTTGTAGCTACTTGATCCCTCGATATAGATAACAATGCCTAATCAGTGGCCAGTGGTCCCCCATGGTCCTCTTTTTCTAATTGTTAATTGGGAGCTGAGTTGATGAGATAACCACCTGTCCAGTGACCTTGCAGGGTGGTCTAATCCTTCCTACAGGTGTATGAACTAATACAGATAATCTTTAATGTATTTATACTGTTATAAATTTACATGTACTGTGTTGTACATGTATTTTAATTGATGATATAGTAATAATTGATACATGCAGTTGCAAATAAATGTTGAATTATTTTTCATTTGTCATATAGAGTTATAAAATGATTCATGGCTCAGGTACTCTAGTAAGATTTTTCTCAAAACAGCATTGCTGTGTAATAACAAAATGTAAGACACCCTCTAATATCGATTCTCAAAAACTCTCAGACACCAGACAATTGATGACACCTAAAAAGCAGCGACATACAATCAATGTAGGTCCCATCATAGTTTTCTCAGTACTCTATAATTGACCACTTATCTTAATGTTATTTATTATGTATCATTGATTGTTATTTTTTCACCCCCCAAAAAATACTATATTTTGAAATGTATATGTAACATGAGAAATATGAAAATAAATTAAATGAAGAATGATTCAAATCATCAAGTTGGAGAAAAAAAATTGAAATTAGAAATCTATTGTCCATCCTAGTGAAGTACTGCTTCCTGTTCATTGTGTGAGCTTTGTTCCTAAGATATACCCAAATTTATACTAATTCCAATATATTGACCTTTTCTTTTCAGATATTATGACCAGCTTGAAGCAATCGATGGCAAACTCCCTATCATGGAAGGACAGGTAAAGTGTATATTTTAAAAAGAGATATCAGCGTTTCTAATTCGGTATCTTGTAAACAGTGTACTTAAAAAACATGCTTAGATTTCATTTAATCTTTTAAATCCATTCCAGGTACAATTATGTTGATGGAAACTGGAATTTGTTTTTCCGGCATACAATTTGAAAAGATTAATTCTTACAGTAGTTCTGAAGTATTTCATTATCATTCTTTTCTTCTTTTTTGTTGGTGGGGGGGGGGGTGTAAATTAATACATGTAGTTGTGGACCCTGTATATCCTGAAAGCTATTCACAATATCCTGTTCATCCCAAACAATGTGTTCTTATCAGCACAAATAAGATACATGTATATACTATTTGTTCCTGTAGAGGAAGATAGTGTAAGCAGTAATAGTTTGAAGCAGTTTTATTTTCTTGATGTATTAAACGTGAAAGTGTCTTAATTCTTTCTTCATTGATTTAGATTGCTGTAAACTTTGGATGGCAAGATGCTTTTGACAAAGGATCTTTCTTGGGTGGAGCGAGGAAACAATGTAAGATTTCTTTGTCGTTTCTCTTCTTTTTCTTTTTTGAAAGCGGTGATTCATTCTTTCTTTATTAAAGTTAGTAATCTTTTCCTAAAGATATAACATTGGAATTGACTGGGAACCTCTGAAGTGCATGGAAATATACACTGTAGTGTTTCTAGTGTCAATTAGATGTCTCAAAAATAAAATTGTGTAATTTTTTGCATGGGGCCATCATTTCATCTAATACCGTGAATCTAATACCACTTTTTTTTATCATCAGTTTTGACCGCATTTCTCCCTATATAAAGGTTAATGTAATTTTCACGTTTGGTTAAGTTTTTATCCTTGTGTCCATGTTCTTGTATACTTTTCCTATTTTTAGTGTATTTACTAAGGAGCATGGACCTTTTAGAGATGGGTTTATTTAAAAATGAGTTGATTTGATTTAATGACAACTATTTTTCTGGTGTTTAAATATACGAAAAATATACACTTTCCTTCATTTCTTGCCATTGTAGCTGCACCTACTGCTGCCTTTGAGAAGGTTTGTGTCCTTTTCAATATTGCTGCAATGAACAGCCAGGTCGCTGCTCTGCAGAGCATGGATGATGATGATGGTCTTAAAAGTGCTGCAAAACAATTTGTGGTATGTATGTTTTTACTTGATTTGTGTCTCGCCCACCGAAATGGAAGCGAGATATACTGCAGTGCGTATGCTAATAAGGCTTACAGTGAAGATTTATTCAGCAACTCTTTCATGAACGATTTGTGTGCACTGGACTGAGCGTGATTTTCATGGTGATTTGGCAGCGTCGCACGTTTGTAACGATAGCGAGCGTTATCTTCAGTTGTCAGAGGAAGTGATTCCATCACAGACATATAACAAGCTTTTCATAGTAGAGTATTTGATATTATAGACAATATCTGCCTACCCCTACATCTTTATAAAACAGGGGGTTTCTTGCTAGGGTCTGATATTTGAGTTTTTGAATATTTTGATATTAGACCCACCATTGTAATCTATAAATTATCATTTCATCGCCAGACTGCAGCTGGTTTTTTCAACCACATCAAGGGTAGCGTGTACTCGGCTGTTCAAACGGTGCGGACATGTGACATGCAGCTAGAATGCCTCACTGCCCTCAGCTCACTCATGCTGGCTCAAGCTCAGGAGAGCTTTCTAAGGAAGGCCAGGAAAGGTAAGAACCTCATTTAGAAAAGAATATCAACATAAGTGTTGAAGCAAACATGCTTATGAAGTCTTGGTAGTATAAAGTCAGATTTACAGTGACCTTGTATAAGTTCTTGACATATTTTCTCCAGGCTCTTTTTTCTGAGAGATTTTTTAGTGTAAGGGTTAAAGTTGCAAGGGGATTAGTAAGATTTATGGTAAGGGCAAAGGTAAGGTATATTTTTTTTCCAGAGTTGAAGATAGAGATGTAATTCCCACAGAGCAATTAAGCAGGGCTTAAATTAATCCAAGGCCACCAAGGCCATGGCCGTGGATGCCCTTTTGATTGGCCTCAATGCCCCTCTCATTGGCCTTGGAGATTTTTTGTGCCCTTTCCAATTCTTCCTATTTGTGCTGTAATATAGGAATGTGCCCTACAGAAAAGTGGCCTTGCCCTAAAAATATTGAAATTTAAGGCCTGTGAAGTCTTGGTAGTATAAAGTCAGATTTACAGTGACCTTGTATAAGTTCTTGGCATGTTTTCCAGGCTTTTCTTTCTCAGAGATTTTTAAGTGTAAGAGTAAAAGGTGCAAGGGGATAAGTAAGGTTTAGGGTATGGGTAAAAGTTAGGGTTGAGAGTTCGTTTCCCAGAATGACATTAAAATCCTTTGGCAAGAAATATATCCACATTTACGCTTTCCATCTGGTAGCATACTAAATTCATTGCAGTTGCTCAGTATTGTAAGCATCTGAAAATGGCACCGGGCATGAATGCTCCCCAGGGAGTCAAAAATGTGCATACATCATGTGCGGACAATCCTGAATTTGATGACTGGTGTAATAATATAGCTGTAAAGTGCTTAAAGATGTTATTGAAGTATTAAGTGTTAAATACAGTACACCCAGAATGTTATTATCATAGTGTTTTCTCTCCACTCTTGATCCGTAGACAAGATGAAGGATGGGATTATATCTAAGGTAGCACTGTCTGCTAGTGAGCTCTATCAAGAAGCAGCCAAAGCTCTCAGCCAGCCACAGGTCAAGGATATTATTCCCAAGGATTGGATTCCTACAGTGCTTGGGAAGCAATACTACATGCATGCCATATCAGAATACCACCAGGCCCTGGTGTGCCGAGCTAGCAAGTCCTATGGTCCAGAAGTTGGAAGGCTAAAGGTGAGTTTAAAATGAGTTGTAACCAGATGTTGCTTCGCTTTTATCTTTGAAAACCTGAGATGTGTACGTGGTGCCACCTACAGTTTTTCTACCCAATAGACCAGTTTACTTATATATGCAAAGTTATGGAGGTGTCTTTCCTGGGGACCTAGACCCCGTTTACAGTGAGAAAAGGGCCAGGGCCGGGCCGAGCCAGGCCTACTCGGCTCCGCAAATTTGGTGCGTTTAGAGTGGCAGGCTCGGCCGCGGCCTAAATTGTAACCTTTCAATATTTTATCGTAGTGGTGCTCTGCATTTAAACAAACGATTATTTGGGGGGCGCGCCGGGGGTCACAGTGCAGATCCGGTCTCGCACGATTTGGAGTGAATCTTTTCCCCAATTTCCTATACACTGCGAACTTTCACTTCCGGGGTAACAGTTGGCCGCGCATTTGGCCCTGCGTGCATTTACAGTGAGAAAAGCCCGGGCCGCGGCCGAGACTACCTCCAGAGCAGGGCCAAATGCGCGGCCAGTTTGGCCTCGCATTTGGCCTTTTGCGCGTTTACAGTGCTAGGCCGGCCTTTTTGCTCACTGTAAACGGGGTCCTAGTGACAATTTTTTTATTCCATTAACCTGTTATTAATGAATGAAATACAATACTTGGAACCCAGTCTGCATTCATTACCTATTGCTATGTCGGGCAAGCGCCATGTAAGCTTTCAGGGTATCAGGAACAACCTTTGTTTAAAAAAGTATGTACAAATTATGAGCATGTTAGTAAACCTGCATTTTAACATCTACTACAAGTTCCATACTCTTACAAACTGTTGGGCAAATGCAAATTTGTCTCTAGGCTGAGGTACAGTACAGTACAAGTTACATAGATGCAGCAAGGTGTGTGTTTAGTCAGAAAAACTTGCTTCTACTTTAATTTGATGATGGGATCACAGATTGTAGTAGGCAGTTATTCTCTTCTTGTTTTTAGCATGCAAGTGATCTCTTGAGTGAAGTCGAACGAAAAGGGGGCCAGTACATCGACACCAAGGACTTCGCTGCTAGAGTTAGTCAAGAGCTCAAAGCTGTGAAGAAGGACAATGACTTCATCTATCATGATATTGTGCCCTCGGTAGATCAACTCAGCAGGCCTGGCACCGCCCAGATTGCCAAACTTGTGGATTTCTCAACACCGTTATCTACTGAATCAAATGGTAAGATAGTAGATTAGGATAGAAGTACACAAGCATGTCAAGATGCTCATGTTTGGTTTTTTCTTTCCTTTTTTATTTTTTGATTTCTATGCTACTTGATTGATGATAATGATTTTTTCAGAAGATTGGTAGACTTCAAAGGGCAATCCAACCTTCTTTGACAAGGTCATTTGTATGAAAGCAGAAAAATAAGAAAAAGATTGGTGAAAGTTGAATATGAGATCACTAAATCCAGCATGCGAAACTCAAATTGGCATTTTGGTCAGTGAATTGTAGACATCCCTTTCATCATGTACAAAAAGGTCATTAATTTCAGTTTTTTCATAAAGTATTATTCATAGCGTAGTATTATAAGTCCTCTATTATTTTTGCATGTAGGACAAATGAGATTACTCTTCCATCCTTATAATTTGCTGTATTACAAGTTTCTCTTTCTGCCATGTTTTGTCATTCATATGCAGGTTGTGCATTCAATCTATCAATCTCAATATGGAATAAATTCTCATTTGAGGAGGAGAGAAATTCTTTGTTACTTCGGCCTAGTCTTGACATGCAGTTACATAACATATTGCATAGTCAGTTGCATTGGTTTTATAAATATGTTCCCTTATTTGTTACTTTCTTCAGATCTGTTTGCATCTCTGGTTCCCCTAAGTGTTCACAATGCAACTGTTGCCTATGACAACCGTAAGGCGGAGGTTGTCAACAGAGAAGTTGGAAAGCTACGAGAGGGAACTCAATTCATGAATAGGTATGGAAGCCAATGCAATCTATGATTTCTGTTACATGTGATATGAATATTGAAGCTCACATGAATTAAACAACATGTATTATACAGTATTTGTTTATGAATATTCTCAATCATCTCGGTTATGAAATGCTGACAAGTTACAAACAATGCAACTGGACATACATTATCCAGTAAAATTTGTAATTTTTTGTGTGCTCTTCAGTACATGCAAATAATAGTGATAATGACTGCTATGAGAGACATAGTTATTTTTATATGCTCAAGGTGAGGTTACATCGTGCTATCGCCCCTAGGCGTGCCGAAGGGTGATAGCACGATGTAACCTCCCAAAGAGCGTATGAAAACAACTATGCCTCGAATATTAAAGCAGTCATAACTTTTATATACCGAAAAGGGTCATAGAATACATGTGCACCACTCAAGTTTGTGTGCTAAAATCCTTCCCATTGAGATTGCACGCATCTATCCCTATGCAATCTAGATCTACGTGCATTAACAAAATTATTTCCAAATCGAGATGTAAACCTTTATTGCTTGTGATCCTGAACTTGAAGGTGGTACTCAAAAAATGAGATGTCATATGAAAGAACAGGTTTATCTCCATATTTCCAAAGGGGCATCATCTTGTTATTACATGTAGATCTAGGCCTAGCTACAATCGAGACCAACGGTCATCTGCGCTGTGTTTGTAGCAACCAAATTAATCGCACACAAAATATATGGTAGTCGCACTCCGCACAAACTAAGTTAATTAACACGTAAACCAAAGGGGATTCGCAGTACTCATACCGCCTACCAGTCAATAGTCTTTTGAAAAGTGCTTTCAAAAGACTATTGACTGGTAGGCGGGGCATGGTTAAAAACACGACTCCAATTTTGACCTATCAGATGGCTAGATCTCTAAAGTGAGGTACAGTATATAAAGAAAGCTGGTTGACTTAAATATTCTGGTTTCTACTGTCACGTATAACTCATGAGTGTTATGGTAATTACCCTAACTTGTATACAATATACTATTCTTCCTTTCCCAGTGTCCTAGCATCTCTCAACTTGCCTGCATCTATAGAGGACCTGAAAGGAGACAGCGTTCCTCAGTCGGTCTTAGAGAAGTCCCAAGGAATTAAACAGAAAGGAGGACTAGAGCACATCGACAAGTTGTTCCATGAACTACCAGAACTCCTCCAGAGAAATAGAGAGATTTTAGAAGAGGTAATAACCCTGGGCACAAATGAGTTTTGCCATTTAAAGACCCTGTCGGAGGTGAAAAATGAAATAGGTGAATGATATATCAAAGGAAAGCTTACAAGCCATAGATTACAATAATACCAATTATATGCTACTTTACTGCCTGTCAGACGAGAAACCGCTCTCTGAATCAAACTCTAAAACTTTGAAAAGTGGGAGTTGTTGACCTAAAAACTAGCTATTGAATTGATGACATCATCGTATGTGGAGTATGCATATTCACAATGACTTTACATTAATTAAGCTTGGCTCATTGTCTCAGCAATATAGGCGAGCCGTTCAGATGTACGTACACATTATGTCGTCACTGTAACTGCAGAAAATTTGACCCCTGTTGACCTGTAATTAAGAGAGGTGCGGAAAATAAGGTTTTAATTCGGTTTTGTGCAATACTGAAAGGGAAAATATTTTGAATTCCTTTATATTTGTATTCTACGTTCATTCAGCTTTCTATTGATATAAAGTTGAATTTTCATTGGATAGGGTCTTTAAAATGTATGTGTAGTTCATTCATTAGCATTGCAAGCAATCTTGCAGTGACTTGTCAGCAAATTTGCTAAGCAGTCAGAGTTCTATCCCTTTACAGTATTTAATGCATGAATGTATTAATTGCCATCACATACTCTTGCTATGGCCAATGTGGCATTTATTAGTGCATGTCTGTATACGCTTTGTCTGAAAGCTATTATTACGTGTCTCTAATTCGTGACGGCAGTAACGAAACACGAAAGAAGATATTTGAAATCATAATGACAACATGCTCAGTACTTTTCAATAGATATATTAATGCTTGGGATTATGTGTTACTATTAAAGAAGTAAATTAGGATGGGTATAATATCCTAACATTTTACATGCCATGCATAAAACCCTCCAACCTAAAAGCTTATGCACAGGAACAATGCAAAAAATTATTTTCTACATACCACTTTGACCAAACACAGATTATTACCAAAAATGTTATGTTAACTGAATTTACACTGCTGCCTGATACATGCATTTACGTTTTTGACTGATTATAATTGTAGGCCGTCCGTCAACTTGATGAAGAGAGAGAAACTGATGTCCAGATGAAGGAGAAGTTCAAGGAGAAATGGACCCGTGTTCCCTCTGACCAGCTGACCACAGCACTGAGGGCAGAATCTAGCAAGTATAGGACCATTCTAAACAATGCTGTGCAGGCTGACCACACTGTTAAGGACAAGTACAAGCAGAGCAGACCATTCATCATGATTCTATCAAAAGACCAGGCAAGGGAATGGTGGTACAACATTTCTTCATGTAGCATTTGGTCCAACCTTTATTTTGTCAAAGATATATTTAAGTGACTCGGTCTCATTGTCTCTTTGTCTCAGATTCTGATACAAAATTATGGATTTAGCTCATGCTGCAATCATAATTATAAAAATTTAGGTCAGTCAGGAATTCCATGACTTTTACAAGTCTTATTATCGAGATAATTTTTCATTTTTTTTGTTTTCCTAACGATTTTCATAACACTACAGTCTATTAGGTAAAATGAGTATTAGTCCAGTAGATGGTACCATATACCATGTACATGACCTGGAAAAGTTGATAAGTACAAGGTTTTTTTGTTGATTTGTGTTCTAGATGGGTATTGAAGTAAATTCAGCTTGGTTGCCAGCTTGGCAACCTTGAGCAACTTTTTTAATAGCCATATTAGCATATGTGCAATATGTAATAATGTTGCTAATCTCAATCCAGGAAGCCTGAAAACATGGATAATACGACTTTCCAAGGGTTTTCTATGACAAGGAATTAATTTATGACACAAGTTTTTTATTCCAAGTAATGCAATTGTCTTAATAATAATAAGCATATGTACAATGTATGGACTTCATTGTCATTGTGTATCTATAAAGCCTAAAAATGGTGCAATGCAACATTGTAAATCACCCTTTAAAAGACTACACATTAATTCATGAGAAGATATTCCATGTAGATGTAGTATAATTAGCCTAATTATCATATACACTGTATGTGCAATACTAATAATGTTGCTAATCTTAATCCAGGAAGACTGGAAACATGGATAATATGACTCAAAGTTACTGATAACACGTAAGACCATGCATCTCAGATTTAACATCGTTAAACGATGCCTTTAAGGTTAAGGTTAGCCTGAGGGAGTGTCATGGTCAAGTGGTTGACCATGACTAACCTTACTGGATGTACATGATTAATATGATTGTATTTTAAATTCATCAGGTGGAGATAGCAGCTTCACTACCATCGGCCAGTGGAGCTTCAGCGTTACAGGGGTCCCCTGTAGTCCAGGAGTTAAGACAACTCATGAAGGACGTTGATGAAATCAAGACGGTCAGAGAAGTCCTGGAGAATGAGATTAAGAGTGCCACTGTAGATATAAGTAAGTTCTGTTTGGAGTCTTCACTCTCTTACATATATGGTTTGTCAATGCGATTTTGGTATGAAAGACAAGCTTAAACTTCTGGAATAGCATCAGTGGAAACTTGCTCTAAACGAACAAAACATTAAAAGCTTCATCAAAATCAAATTGAATCAAAGTTTCAAATTAATTTTCAGGTGATAGTACACTTAAAGAAAATCTGATTACAGCAAGGTAACCATATTCTATCCCCGATATCATATGGTTGGGATATAACAAGGTAATGTCCTTATAGTCCCATGTAGTATGTTGTAATGAGGTTCAGTTTGAGTATAATACTCAAACAGAGCATAGTATATAGTAACTGTTTAGATGAACCTGAATCAGGGACTAGAAAGACTTCCAAGTATTTTTAATTGATATTTATGAAATATGTGTTTCTAAATCTATACTTCATTGTCCATGTAATATGGCAATCCATTTCTCAGTGGTAAATGGGAAAACAAAACCTATAAATTTTCCTATCTGTCCTTCCAGAATCAAAGTTCATGCGGGCCCTAACAGCAGATGGTGCAATCAACGAAGACACCATTTCCAACGACAGCATTGACGACATGTATAGCTCCCTCATTCAGCAGGTTCAGGAGAGTGTTCGCAAACAGGAGACAGTCCTCAACAATGTTCAGGTATAAAACCCCCTCCTCCCCCCCCCCCCCCTGAAAAAAAATAGAAGAAGAAAATGAAAAAGATATATATATATGTATATTTGATGTAGTAAGTCCTTGCTATTAATGGATTTTGGAGAAGAAAAACAAATAAAAAAACATTACTATCTTGTTCTCTTCTCAAAGGTTATTGTCTACCACAATGTTATTTATCTCACCTGTTACTGACATTACTAGCATTGTATAACTTTTAAAGGACTTGTACTCATCTTTGTGTTGTATACACTTATTGAACTTAGGAATTGAAATCAAAAAGTAAACATAATTGCAGTGTGAAGGTAGAAAAGAGAGTGTATAAACAGGAAGCTTTTCTATCTTTCCAAGCTATTCCAAGCTAGTACATCATTGCTACAAATCTCTTATTTTTTTATTTTTTGTTGATTTTTTTATATTTTTTTTTGTTCACTTATTTCAGATTGTGGATTTTTGTAGAAAAGCAAAGAGCATCTGAACAAACGCTGTCTCTTACTTCATTTGTTTCTTCTATTCTATGTATTAGGATGCCAACACAAGGTTCTGTTCAGCCAAGCAGACCAATGCAGGTGGTCAACAAAGAGAAGAGATGCTGAGGAATCTAGCCACTGCTTATGACAGCTACATGGAGCTTACATCAAACCTACAGGAAGGCACCAAGGTGAGCATTAACTGATGTCACATTGATGATGGTTTAACCAGAATTTGGTTCGTTTGTCGATTTTACCTGACTGCTAAGAAAGCATGTTATGCTTGTAAGTACGCAACCAGGCGACCACCTGCATAGAAAGACCATCTGTCCGTAAAGACCATATTTTCCCCCTTTAAAATCAATTCTCATTGAAATCTGTTCTGATACATAAAGACCCCTGCTTCTTTTTTCTCCCTAAAAGCAGTCTTTATAATAGGTGTCACTGTATATGATCTGGCATATTTTCTCATTTCCTTCATTTCCTTAGTTCTACAACGACCTGACCCAGATCCTTGTCAAATTCCAAAGCAAGGTGGTTGACCTGTGCTTTGCTCGCAAGACTGAGAAAGAGGAGCTGTTAAAGGATCTTACCCAATCCCTGGCCCACCAACCTCCTGCAGCTGCACCATCAGCTCCTACACACCACAGCTCAGGTAATCTTGCTTCTATAAAGGTTTATTTTGTAACTTTAAATACACTCTCAATTAACATAAAAATATCTTGGTGAGTAGACTAAACGACGCACCCGTAAGTACTTGCGTAGAATAGGGCCCGCATTCAACCGAAGTCCGACTTGGGTTACATGCACATGTTTTTATGTTATTCTTTATTTTCTTTCATACTCCTTAAAAGTTTAATAACACATAGACATTTTGACGTTGATTTGATACATTCTAGCTTAACACAGATTATTTAAGTGATCGGTACACTTTAACTCTTGATTTTAATACCTTTCATAACTGAAGATTCTTTAACATATTTTTCTTGACACATACACTCTCATATCATTCTCCATTTAGGTGTCTATGGCTTGCAATGAAATGAAGTAGTAATAAGATAAGGTAGAGTTATTCCTCTGTGGACTTCTCTCTCTTTTAAGTCCACTGTACATTACACGACCTAACTATGATCCATTTTCGAAAAATTTGCAATAGTATTTGATATGTAAAATTGTAATGAGCAATTAACTAAATAGTCAAAATATTAATTAAGTCTAATTTTCAGGGCATTGAAACCAGCTCAGAATTGTTGTGTCAGACCAGTTGAAGTGCAATAAAATTGCACTAAAAATGCACTAAAATTGGGGTTATTAGTATTATTATGTAAAATATAAACCAAGAACATAATGTTTGTTTAGAATTCCATATCAAATATGATTGTAATTTATTTGTAATTGGATCACAGTAGGATTGTATAATGTGCGGTGGGCTGTACATATGGTTCATTCTAACTGCTGAAATCTTTTCTTTTGCTTCTCTGTAAATGCTCTTCAAGTGGTCAGATAGGCCTTTAGGTAATCTTGAGGACAACAGATGTCTATTCCATGAATCTTTTATCACCACTCTAAAGATAAATATTGTTCAGATAATTTTATTGATTTTGGAATCTCTTTCTTTTACTTCAAATTTCTAGCATGGGGATTTCTTTTTTGTTTTGCTCACCCACATAATATACAATTTAATATACCCTCTCAGCAGTTTTTAAAGTTGTGCACTGTAGCATTTATCCAGATCAAGTTGGTTATGTTTGGGTCCTAAATGTATCTCCATACAATCATGTACATGCAAATCCATTGGATAAGAAACAGAGAGGTCAGTTTGAACAGTTTCCAGCAGAGAGAAAAGAAACTTTTTTAATGCTTCATGTATTCTAGAGAGCACTAACACATATATTTCATATCACTACCGGTATCTGCTTTAGGTTGTACATGTATAATGCCACTAGACTAATTTAGTTACCTTAGATTATTTCATTTCAGTAAATTTCAGTTTATCATTATCTTTGAAATACATGTATAATATTAATCATGAGGGGTTTATTCTTCAATGATATACATACATATATACAACCTTAGCAAAGTGTTTTTTTTTTTAAATAGAAAGAGAACTGAAATACTGCATGAATTGCGCAGCTCAGTCACCTTCATGATCACCTCAGTGGTAGAGCAGTGATCTCGTAACCGGGAGGTCCTAGGTTCGAAACCAAGTCAATGCACTAGTGCCCTTTCATAATGCATTAATCCTCATTATCAAGTCCCTCGGAGAGGACTTTAAGCCATTGATCCCCTGATTGCTTACCTACAAGCATACACATGCTTTCTTAGCAGTCAGGTGAAACAAACCAACAAATCCAAACATGTTTTTAGGGTGTGATGCATGTATTATCTGGGATTAGATGATGCTAATGGTATGGGTGAAGTTGGGTGAAGGGCTACTTTAAGAGCAATTAATTTATTTTTTTGAGGGGGGGGGGTCGAATTTCTACCATTTCAAACTTCTTTTATGGTTGCACTTTTTATGACGTTACACCTGGCTTCACACTAACTTTTTGGAAGGGGGTTTGGATTAAATTGTGTAAAGTCTGTGTGCATGAACCCTACAGTATGTAAAAATCTTGATTTTTTTTTTTTTTTTAAATTGGGGGAGGGGGGGGGGGGTCCGTCATAGATTTAAGGCACCTGTAAGTTTCGAGCCCTGGCTAATGGGATAAATCACTGGTGTCACTAAGAAGTTTTTTTTTTCACTGGTGGAGGGAGTCATATATATTATAACCTGTCAAAAACTTCCTACATAGTCCAAGTATGAGCAGGATTCTTTTTGTCACCCTGTGTACATGGAACATTGAAGTTGAATTACGGTGATTATGATAGACCCCATAAGTGCCCATTTGTTCGTGATCACCTCCCCTCAAAACTCACTTCTTCTGTTAAAGGTACTATGTCCCATTTGCAGGCCAAAAAAATGAAAAAGTTCAATTCCAACTGCATTTGAAAGATAATACTAATTTAGAACTTCCCTAAAGAAGGTGGGGCTTGAAAATGTCTTCAGGTGGAAAAATAACGACTATTAGTTGTCAAATCGACTTTAGGGCTATAGAGCCCAAAAGTAATAGTCTTGATTTTCAGACAATTGTACCGAATGGTCATACGTTTTATGCTGCGCAAAGATTCAATCAGTTTAATCTTGGCCATCACAAGAAGTGGGTTATTGATGTAGACAAATGCTCATGAACCCTTTACAACTCTTTTCATGTACCAGTATGTTATTACCAATGAAGAAAAAAAAGCCAGTCAGTCACTCAATAGTGTCTGACAGTGAAGTTTAGCAAGAAAACGGGTTTCCTTGCATAATTTGATTATGAGGACACTGCTAACGTTTAAATTTCACAGATAGGACATACATGACATATTCATAATTCCTGCAAAGTTCTACAGAATTTGAGGTTGGCTGCAAAAGGGACATAGTACCTTATTTGTAAAGCGCATTTTAACATAAACATGTATATGGAAAATGCTCTATGCAAATACATTATTATTAATATTATTATTTTGGGGGATTACAACTACCCGGTACTACTTGAATGAGATTGGACATTACATTTATAAGTCTCCTCATCACAGAGATATCTATTAATATCAGAATGTGCAACTCCATTTCGCAATACATGTTTGATGTATACATAACAATCTTATGCTCTTGTTATATTTTCCATGTATATCTGTAAAAATATATAATGCAGTCAGATGTTTGTTTGCATGCATGGTGTTTATTTGTTTGTTCTTCATTTCAAACATCTATTCTAGATGTAGCATACTTTATAGAATAATATTAAGGAAGTATGTCACATTGAACAGCACACCTACCTGAATTTACATTTAATATTTCCTTTACTTTTAACTTTGTGAAAGCACTAAGAGTATACTTACACAAACAATTTTAGCTTAGGAAGATGACTCCCACTGGACATGCCTTGTTATCAAGCTAAATAAACCTAGGAAGATAACAAAAATCTGAACATATATCTGGGTTACATATCCACAATTTTATATTTTAAGGAATTGCATTTTTTTCTAGTTGTAAATTATTTATGGCTTTGACTGCTATTGACCTTCCAATTAATTTCAAACTGTTATTTCAAGTGAAATTCCAACATCAAAGAATACCGATACCAGAATTGCATCAGAGTTTTTGGTAGTCTTTCAAGTACTATTAACCCGTTTACGACTGAATTCTCTTATTCTCATAGGTTTAATACAGGGGCCACCAGGTTCCAGCAGGCAATGGATTAATAATAATAATATAACATACTTCTATAGTGCATATCACTATTTATTTCCCTATAAGCTGTACACTCCTTTGAACAGGGTAATTTGTTGGTCAAATATATATATGTATATATATATATATATATATACCAGTTTTCGATATTTTTTTTGTGACTGCAGATATTTTTTTTAATTTGGTGCCCATATCAACAAAGATGTGTATCCAGTTTACTGTAACACTCCACTATATTGATTATGTTTGTCCTTCATTGTGCGTTAAACATCCTTTTGTTTTTGTCTCAATCACCCGCCTCCACAGGTCAAAGAGTACCTCCTGCGAGACCACCCCCTCCTAATGTCAGCCGTGCACCTCAATCTACAGCACCCCCACCCCAGGCCCCACCCCAGCAGGCAGCATCAGCACCTCAGCAACCACCACCACCAGCAGCAGCAGCAGCACTACCACCCCAGGCGGTACCCGGTGGTTACCCTGTGCAGCCCGGCTCAGCACCCCAGTACCAACCCATGCCATCCTACGCACCCGGCTATGGTGGTGCCCCCATGTCCATGCCCGCCCCAATGGCGGCCTATAATCAGAACACCTACCCCCAGCAAGGTTACCCGCAGCAGGGGTACGGGCAGCAGCCCCCTTATGGTTACCAGCAGCCCCCAGCACAGGGTTACCCCGGACAGGCTCCACCCCAGCAAGGCTATCCAACACAGCCTCAAGGGTATCCACAACAGCCCCAATACAACCCTTATGGACAACAGCCGCCACGTTAACTTTGTATGTCAATGTATAGTTTCAAGCGTATAAGTTCTGGTAACTTTTCTGCGTTTTAGCACATATCATTGCAATAGCAATATACGTATCAAAAGAAGCAACCGGTATCTAATAATTTTGTTCTCTAATGCTGATAAGCTCTTTTGATATATTTGCAACACAAATGAATGAATGAATGAACCACCAAAATGTAAACTCTTACTCACCTCCCCCCCCCCCCCCTTCCGAAAAACAACAACAGTGTGTTTTCATAGTAAGTTTATAAATAGATGAATATTTAATGTACGTCTCTGTGTAGCCTTTCTAATGTTCTTTCAACTTCAGAATTTGTTAATCCATGTTGTGTTAGAAATTCAATTAATTGTTACTATTTTTACAAATCAATACCAAACAAATGTTATTATAGGATAGTACTATGTATCAATGTATTGTATAGTGAAGTATATCTGACATACTTGATTATTTTTTCTACTGAGGTCTAATTAAAAAACATACAGAGTACAATATTTTCTTCCGCTTGCCAATGAGGTGTTCGGTAATTTATATATGATGGATTTCTGAGAATGAATTAGTCTTCTCGACTATACAGCTGTGCACAGAACTGATTTCTTATTTGATATAAAAAGACAAACTGAAAAAATTCGGAAAACAACAAGAAAAAAAATTACACATTTAAAAAAAAAAATTGTAAGAAAGTTTGAGTGTGCATTTCGATGTGATTTACAAAAATGACATAACTTGTAATGTGTTGTTGTTTATGTGATAGTGTTTAATCTATATAAATAATGGCTAGTGTTGGATATAAGAATATATTGAAACATATATTAGGTACATGTATATCTAGCATTTTTATAGCAAATAAAGTGAAAGTTCTAAAATAATATTATAGGTCATTTACACCACTTGCTCGATATAAAGTACTTTGGTTTTTTAAATATTGAAATTGAAAAGACAAATGATTGCAGATATCTGTTTTAAGCCTATGTGTGCCTATTGCAATTTAAGAAATTATGATTAATTGCTCACTTGCAGAATATGAACATGAACATCATCACCATCCATGAAATAGCCTTTTAGCACCTATACTGCCCTCTTTAGTTCCCTCTGTTCTAGTTCCCTGCTTTACACAATTTTTCATTGGATGTTCTGTAGATAGATATAAAGCTTATTAGAAATCCAACATCTATATGTTAAGCCATTTGTATAAGATTATGCTTGTTATTATTATTATTATCATCATTATGCAATATAGATAAGAGAGACATTTGGACGATCCACTGTCCTGAAAGTTGCATTAGAAGTTCATACTTATATTTGTGTCACAATGTTTATATCATCATATTTGTTCCTTTTGAATGGACAGTGTTGGAAGTTTCATGGGGAAAACAATGATTAAGATCCATCTTTTCAAGACATGTTAATAAAAATACTCCATAAGTTTGCAGCTTATTGATTATAATGTAGATTACTGTTAGAGTCTGGTGGAGCATTCGGTCCATTGCTCTCAGATGTCATTCAAAGACTCTAGGAATTCAGTCACCACCACCACCATTCAATTTGTCATCATGTTCATCATCATGATCACTATCACCATCGTTGAGCATCTGTCTTTCCCACACTGTGAGGTTGGAAGTTTCATTTCCTTCTTGGCCCTTCTCCAAGCCATCCGGTCTCAGCATCCATCTGTGTGAGGCCAGATACTCTTACATCTTCTTCTAATGTCTCCTTCTAATGTCTCCTTCCAAATTTTGTAAGGTCTGCCACAGGATTTAGAGCCAGTCTCCAGAAAATTCATTGCAATTTACACTGTGAAATGCTTTTTGATTGATTGAGAAGAATACAAGACATTTTATTTAAGTATATTTGATAGAACCATCCTCCATACATAGGACTATTGTAATTATAAAGAAGCTTATATTAGGATAAGTTTCTTGGGTCATATGCTAACAAATAATTAATATTTCGTAAACACAAAATAATGTAGTTTATCTATGAAAGCATTGTTGAACAACCTGTTCATACATTATTTGATCATTCCATTTTTTAAATTATGGTAGCATTTTAGAAATGTATGCCAAGCATTTTGTTTAATTATGTTACAGAGTTCCTTGCAAACAATTTTGGTATTTGGATACCTGTTTGAGAATTTATAGAAGAATTTTGATAGAGTGTCTGTAACGTTGTATTTATTATAAAATTTATGATATCTGTGTTTCATTTTACATATGAATGTATTAAGAACAGGCCTGTATGAGGTCATGTCTTGTAACAGGAAATAATAGGAGAGATTTGTTCTTCTTTTGTTAAATTTCTGATGAATCATTTAATTACAAAAGGAAAACAAAAACTCTTGTATATCTTTTTGAAATGTGTGTGTTTGTTTGATTATTAGTGAAGTTTAATGTTTGGAAACAAATTTCTGGCTGTTCTTTATATGTCAACCAATTGCCAGGAAATACACTGATTTTTGTATTAAAGCTGTCTTAGATGATGTGATTAATTTATAGAATTATAACTCTATAACAAGTTGATAAAAAGGTATGTGCAACCTATTATTGAGTAGTAATTTGTTACATCTCTTTATTATGCTTCTGCTATATTGAATATAAAAACAATCCTATGATCATATCCCAGAGATGGACTAAATTGAGGTAGATTTCTGAGATAATTATAGGCCTATAAGTGCAGCAACATTCACAGTCATGACAAATTATCACTTTGCACCTGGGCATTCCATCGTTTAGTTTAGAGAAACACACTTGCCCATTCTACATCTTTCACTTCACAAAATCTGTATTGATAACATATTTGCAATTAAAGATCATACAGCCTTTCACATTGCATGCTTGCGTTATAGGAGAAAATGATGTAGACAAAAATGTATTAGATGAATAGTAGATCATTTCACTATCTACTCACTGCAAATTACTGTTTGGAGCCAGAAGGGCATTATCTCACATACTTTAACACAGACTTAAGACCATTCTGGCTCTGGACAGAAGATATACATTTAAGTTACATGGAGAAATTGGAGATACTGCTTGGGAAACTTGGTAAGCTGATTTCCAATAGCAGTTTTCATACAATTTAGGGGCTAAGAAATTTGGAATTTCGCTATTTACCATGTTGCTTTTAAACAATAAATGTACTGTTTTCATACAATTTAGGGGCTAAGAAATTTGGAATTTGGCCATTTACCATGTTGCTTTTAAACAATAAATGTACTCTTTTTCTAATCTTTGTGAAACTGCAGCAAATAATCATGTCAGAATCTTGTCTATGATATCATTTGTGTCGATGAACAAATAGATCTTATGTTATCTTCGATTGAGATATGTGTAGCCTCTATGCGTATGAATGTAATTTCATGGATATTCCTATCCATTGTAGAATGATTCTTTTTTCTGGTGAAATACATTAAGAATACTGACAATAATTTTTTGTTTCTTTCTTTCTTCTATTCAATATTGTCTATTAGAGTACCTTGAATACATCTCATGGTGGAAATGAGTGCTATAGAATATCAGTTATTTGTATTATTATTATTTATATTATTGTTGTTGTTATAAATATTAATAATAATCTTGGTATTCCATTCATAATAAACTTTGAGAGGGTTAACTTCAAAATACAGCTCAAGTTTGCATCACAGGAAGACCTACCTGCTAAATTTTGGGCCCGAAAGGTCAAAGTTCAAAGTCAATGAACATAATTCGCATTATAGTTGTAGCTCATATAGTTTATTATAATGTGTATCCACTTGTATGTTTGTTTGTAGTTGTTTTTTAAATTGTCTAAAGACGCCAGTATTTTAAGAAAAATATACATCATTTGTCATATTATTGATGAATCAGTTTGCTATAGGAGGGCGTTTTTATGACTAAACTTGTTTCAATTCCATCATTGGAAACGTCCTTATTTTGTATCAGATTATGTGGTGCATTATCTTACAAGCAGTATTGCCTATAATGCATACATTTGGCTTTAGTAAAACTGTTGCATTTATTCATGAGGACATTACTTTGCCATTTCACATTTTGCCTTTGGTGGATATTGTGCGATGTTAAATATGTATGGAAGCAGTTCAGACAATTTCTTCCACTCTGTTACAGACAATACAAAACAAAACAAAATACACACCAATTCATTTTCATCTCGTGTATTTTCCGTAAATCACAACATTAGTAATTTCACTTTATGTTTTATATACATAATATATACATAGTATTTCATCTCGATGACAAGTCAGTGTGCGACTCTCTAATAATAATTCCAAATTGAGACGAATATGAGGACAGACGAATTTGTATATGTAGTTTCAAGTATGACAGTAAGAACATGGTATGTGTGCCCAAAGCAACAAAAAGATCTTCATTTATCTTTCACATATATAAGTTGATTTGGGGGATATAACTGCAGGTTTAGTAAAGCCCACCATTCAAAACACCGTCACCATGATCACAACATGGATGATGATATATGTTTTTATTTACATGAAAATTATGTTTATCCAAACGAGTTGACTATTTTTTATTTAATACATGAATCTCATGAGGCATATTGTTTCAAAACTTTTTCAATTTAAACCCATTATGCCATTGAGACAAAACACAATTTGACGACCCTTCATCGTAGTTTTGATCCAACCAGGCGCGTACACAGGGGGGGGGGGGGGGTTTGGGGGTTAAACTTCCCCCTTTGGTATTTTTCTGTGTGTTAACCCCCCCCCCCCCCCCATAACCCCCCGAACCCCCCCCCCCCTTTTGGTTTTTTTTTTTTTTTTTTTTTTATTAAAAAAAGAAAATAAAAAAATTCCCATGGCAGACCTAAAAAAGCTGACCTTACCCCCCCCCCCCCCCCAACGGAGCAAAATGTCAAATTTTCAAATTTCGAGACCAAAAAAAAAAAGTGTCCTCTTACCCCCCCCCCCCCCCCCCCCCCGCTTATTCAGCGGCTGACTGAGCCGTTGCGAAATTTTCGGCCCGATTTATAAATGTTAAACCCCCCCCCCCCCCCCCCCCTCCCCTTGAAAAATCCTGCGTACGCGCCTTGATTCAACAGATTGTCTGATTTGTGGTGTGGATCTTTTTTGTCTCCCGCTCCCTTTTTCGGTTTGGTCAATCTTCTGGTTTTCTGAAATGTATTTGTTTTTTTTTAAATACCTGATTTAAGTTATAAAGCACGCAATACATTGTTGGTAAAGATAATGGAACAGGTTAAAAATTGTTTTTCTAAGTGCATCTAGTTGGTTCTGGACCAAATAGATGTAGGCAGTAAAGGGTCATCAAGATTTATTTTTAAAATTCACGATCACTTTATGAAAAGAGGCAAGAACAATAATATATTCAAACTTTATTGGCAACATTGTAGATATAGGTGGTATATGCAAAGGGATTCTGTTACTCTCCTTCACAACATGTCTTTATGAGAAGTCTCAGTTTTACATCATTTTACTTTTCCATCACGGTATCTTTGTGATCGGAGGACATTTACTTTTTATGCAGTCCATCTTTTAACAGATAATGGCCAAAGTATCTCTTAATCATTATGCCAAATACGATCATTATCTTATTTTATCTTGCAACTTCCTTTCTTGGTAGTTTTGTCTTCCAGATTCAACCTCCTTGTGAGTTATAAGCTGGATTGCTGTCAGGTTGATTGTTCATATACTGTTGCCATGTGTATCCCTCGTTGTAGGCAGCCGGCCAAGCTGTTCAATAGAAAAGAACAAATTCCCATGTTAAAAGGGCGATATGATTGTGGAAATAGAACGTAGAGAGGAAGAGAGAGAGGAAGAGAGAGAGAGAGAGAGAGAGAGAAAGGGAGAGAGAGAGAGAGAGAGAGAGAGAGGGGAGATACATATATATATATATATATATATATATATATATATATATATATATATATATATATATATGTATTTATATTCTCGGGGGGGGGCAAAATTAAGTAACAAGCAAAACAAAAACAAAGTAAGTTAAGGCCTCGCTAAACAAGCATTCGCATAAAAATGAGAAAAACCGGTGATTATTAAGTCTTTTTAATCTCTAATTTGCCTCAGCTGACGCACCTCGATTTTAGCGCTAGCTTTGACGATCAACGATTAGAAACCATTCATTCACTCAAACCCTGTTTTTTTACATCTTGACAAACTACACATAACCTAAAACCTATATTAGGAAATGATCGTTTCAGCCGCAGACACATAAACTCGATTTAGATAACAGGAAATCGATAGATTTGTCAACAAAATTATATTTTCCCCCGATGCCAAGAAAAATCATTCTTAAATGCCTCGGTCAAGGTCTATTCCCCCCTGACTGATATGTTAGATACAATTCGGGGCCTTTCAGAGAAATGTGCGTTTAATACATGTCGAAAATGTAATATAGAAAACCTTCTTCTTTTTTTTTTTGGGGGGGGGGGGTAATTTCCGGGAAAAAGCTATAGACTCGAGTATTTCTATGTGCCTATAACGGAATGTGATTAGTACATTTCTATATAATTATTTATCCATTGAAAAGTTAAGGTAGTTCTAAAAGAAATTAAAGAAAACAAACATTCAAAAGTTCTACAATTTTAGTAGGACTACTGGTAGTATGAGAGAAGGAGGGGTTATAGTAGTATATCTGTAATAGAGGGGTGTTGATTTAAAAAAAGTGCTGCTCCATTGCCCCCCCCCCCCCGTTGAGCAAAACAAAAATTAGTGCCCACTACCCCCCCCCCCCCCAACTCACATGTAGCTAAGTAAATCATCAGCAGAAATACGTGCATGAATTATTTATTTTCATGTAATGAAAAACATCGCTCATCTGTAAATTTGATCGTTATAAGAAGACAAATCAACCCAATGCAATTTTAGAAGTTTTCTCCATTACCCATTGAAATGTGTAAACAAAATATGCCCTTGATCTTTCCCTATTCACTAGTCTTCATAAACATGACTTCTTTCTAGATTACCTTGGTGTGGTTTTAGTAATGTTCCTTCAGCAATTGCTTTATTTTGTTCCCGTTGAAACAAAGGGTTCATTTGCCCTTCTTGCACTTTGGCGTAAGGGCGATTTTGCTGCTGATGTTGCTGATAGTATTGTTGTTGTTGTTGCTGCTGCTGCTGTCGATAGTGCTGTTGCTGCTGCTCATATTGCTGCTGCTGTTGTTGCTGATATACTTGTTGCTGCTGTTGACGTTGCTGCTGTTGTCTATACTCCTGTTGTTGTTCTGAGAATGGTAATGGTTGTTGTTGACGTTGATTAGCCTGTTGTCGACGTCGAAACTTTTTCATTTGTTTTACTTGTGTCACCTCGTTTGAAGACAGCCCAGCGGCCTCAGCTACATTTCTTAATCGATCCGCTCGCCAACCGGGACGTCTGTTTCGATTTCTTCGTTTATTAGAATTTCTTTGAGGAGCTTCAAAAGAAAATGGATAATTTATTGCATGAATCAATTATAACACATACACAGAGTTTTTAACACTATCTTTTTCCCCTATTCCTTGGTATATTGGAATTTCTTAGACGACCTCCAACAAGATAAATAATTAAGCGCAAACGTTAGATACACCAAATGTAGCGATAGTGAGTCATTACATTAGCCGGCTTTGCAGTTTTTTATGGATTTGATTCAAACTAAAAATGTCCTTTACTAGCATTATTTAAAGGCGAAAACTAAAATTAAGTCATGCACCTTGTGTTGCTATATATCCAATTTACAATGGTAGTTTTTGTACTCACTTTTGTTCATTGTTTTGTGCTTTAAAACTCAAATTATCAAAACATCCATAGTCTAACTTTAAGTGCTCATTAAAATGATTAATAAATGCTACTAGAATGATATGCATTTTGATCAGTGATGACGACGAAGTCATTAAACGTTCCTTAAAAACGTAAAAGCAGAAAGGGTATCTTATTTCATAATTTTTTAATAAACATTAGTAATTAGAGGATGTTTTATTATTAAGTTGTGATTGCAGCTGTGGTTTTTGTTTCAGTATTGATGATGGTGGTAGTGGAGGTGGGGATGGTGGTTGTTGTAATGCTGTTGTAGTGATGGTCTTTGGGGTGGTAGTGGGGTGGTGGTGGTGGTGGTGGTGGTGAAGATAGTGAATATCGGTGATTATATAACGAATTGTATGATATAAAAAGACAAGGGGAATATTATCTTACCTAAAGGATACCTCGGTGCGTCTTCATCAGCTTCGTTCGATTCCGAATCATCTTGCACAAATCTCTGTATAGTAGGAAGCCTCATAGTCGGACGCATAGTCGGACGCATAGTCGGACGCATTGTCGGAGGCATTGTCGGTGGCATTGTCGGTGGCATCGTAGCGTATCTCGTCGAACCAACCACGAACGCCTCATTCAACATCGACGTAGTCAATGGCGCAAGCGTTGGCGGAAGAGTCACGGGGATGCGCTTCGGCTCTTTCGTCTTTTTTAACTTGGGTCTTCGAGTTGTCCTTGGTGGCAGAGTTGGTGGGAAGGTAGGTGGGAAGGTACGAGGACGGGTAGGAGGACGGGTAGGTGGTTGAGTAGGCGGAGGCCAGGTCGTTTGGATCGTCGTCGGAGCTGCTGTCATTCGGCGGGTGGTGGTGGGCATAGCCGTCGTTGGCACCGGCTTCGGTTTCGTAACTATCAAGAAATAAACCAAAGAAACATATCCCATCATCACGATTGTAAATAATCAAGAGACACACATTCAAAATACACATTATAATGGAGGTCGAAATTACGGGAAGAGAGATTACATGGAGAAAGAACCGATATAAAGAGAATATGATATTAATGCAGATCTGATTATTAATACCATCAATAAAACGCTGACACTTAATAATAAAAAATTCTTTAATTACTAATATTTCCAAAAAAATTAAGATAAGATACCCTTTCTGCTTTAAGTTTTTTAAGAAACGTTTAATGTTCCACTCAACCTTGACATGTAGAAAGGCAAAGAAAAAAAATCTAAAAAACCCATGGGGGAAGGGAGAAAATGATTTATCATTCTCTCTTCTCAATTATTAAATAGAATGGCTGTGCTTCGTTTCTCTATCAAACTTGTAAATCTGATTTATATCAATGTATTAACATGTTATCTGTTTTTCTTTGAGACTTATATCAAGTTGTTTCCTGCTGAAAGGAAGTGTTTGTAATAGAAGGAATAAATTATTCTCGGCAATCGATATAAACCCTTACCCTGCTAGATCTTAGCTAAAGTAGTACGCCGACGCTGTAGGTGTAGAGGAAATTAAAAACTACCGCTCTGGAGGTCCTTTGATTCTAGACATTGAGTTGCTTGCCCGACTACTCATATATCAGACAATATATCGGCATGCCGACAAACGGTTCCAATTGCTGTGAACATGTGATATTTCACAATAAATCATTTAAAATCGAATATAGAACAAAGAAGTAACATGTCGCTTATTCCAAGACGGAAGTGCCTAAATATCGAAAGTAAGTGAAGGACAAGGGAATATTCAATTTTCGGGAGTTTGAAGTTAAATTAGTTCGCTGCGTCACTCGTCTTTTGCGTTGCTTTGCCCTTTTCTATGTTTCGTCGGGGGCATTGAACAGGAAGCAGCGATAAACAGGTGCAGCTGTCTGACCTCCTAACCATAACCAGGAGTCCGGTCGTTTAAGTTAGAAAAGAATGATTTTAAACTCTCTTGATGTGGGTGTGCCTTGAGCCAAGGTAGGAATTGAATGCCAAACTCCAAAGGTTAGAAGAACATCCCAAAAAATTAAGCCTAACAAAAGAAGACGTTTAAAGATGGAAACGTGTCTCTATACCCATAACAACACAGTCAAGTAAGTGCCAGGTAAGCAGGTATACAGTCGCAACCATATCACACACAAAATAGATAACCTAATTTAAAAAAATGAAACTAACTTAACAACATTATCATGTAGACATTGAAATCATGTATGCTATGACTTCCTTTAGTCTGTGTCTCTTTCATATTGTTGACTGAATGCTATGTTATAGACATCTCATTATTTGTTGTCTCTGTAAACAAAAAAAAACAAAAAAATACATCTTCCGGAATTCATTTGTGTAAAGGCCTAGATCTCTAACAACAAAAAATATTCAGTGACCAATATAAGTATACGACATTTTCACTTTCTGTGGCCATTCTCTACTCTCCCTTAACAATGTATCATAAAGCTAAATCACTGAATACACAATCACAGTCCAGTATGACGTCATAAAGACATACTAGGGATAGGAGGAGGAGGGGTTTCTATATGTTTCAATGATATAAATACAAATTATAAAAAGCTGATTTACAACCTTAATTGTCATATGATAACAAGCAATTATTGTAAACACGCAATTACACTTTGCCCCTGCGATATTGTGTAATATAGCAATCCTAGCTAAGTCACCCTTGAAAAAATGATAAAGCTGTCTCATTTTGATAACTAACCTTGAACTGAGCGGAAGATAAGTATATCGCCAAACATGCATGTCAGCCTCCGGTGCAGTGACAGCTTGCCATAAACGTCATCCTGCGTCTATTACCCCCCCCCCCCCCCCCCTCTCCCCACCCCACCGCCCCCTCCCTCGAGGAAATGTCATATTCATCTGACTTCCCCAAACCCCTCCCACATCTTCCTTGTACAGCGTAATTAGATTTGGGAATAGAAATAGACCTGTTAAACATGTAATACGACATCCTCATGATTAAGATAATGAGAAAATCACACATAATTTTTTTGCCGTTTTCAATTTATGGAATTGGCTATGCAATTATATTCCTCCGTGCTCATTTGAAATAGATTAAACTTCAATTCTCTGCAAAATAATGGATTGCATTTCCTTCATCTGATTCAAATGCTTACGTTTGCATCTAGGTGCTGGTGTGCATCCCGTGAGGACATTGTCATCTGGATATCCAGTGAAGTAGAAGGGCACGTAAGCTCTGTTGGAGTGCCCAGGGTTGGTAGCCTGCTCGAAGCGGACACAGATGAATCTCATCTCGTTGCATGACATCCTGCGCGCGTCCAGGTTGTACGGGATATTCCTCAGCTTGGGGAACTTCTTGCCCTTGCGGTGTCTCTGCGACCTCTGTTCAGCGGTGAGGACGTTCTTGGCGACGCTGTAGGCGAACCCTTCCCCGTTGGGGTTCCGGCTTGTCCAGATGGTCATGTTCCAGAGGTCCTCGCCCTGGACACCCGTTGTTAAGTCAGTCTCGTGGAAGTTGACGGTGACATTGAGCAGCATGCGGTTTTTCTTACCGGACATGAGCTTGGGAGTCGATGTCACCCTGGCAACGGGAAGGACCTCGCCGACATTCACGACTGCAAAGAGTGAGGAAGAAATGTAGAAGGGCAAGAGACAAGCGAAAGAAGGAGAAAGAAGGAAAGAAGATAGAGAGAAATAAAGAAAGAAAGTGGTGGGGGGTAGAGAAAAAATGGTATAGTCAACGACATGAAAAGGCCCATCCACTTTTGCTTTAAAAAATATTTTCCTTAAAATCTTTGCTACTTAAAATCTATAGACACGTATAAAGACGAGAAGAAGGGATTTCTCCTATTTAGATTCTTTTCTTTGATTCTTATTTTTTTTTTTTTGCCTTCGTCATTTCGACTCATAAATCACATCAAAGGAAAGTAATCAGGTTTATTTTTGAACGCAAGGGACAGAGCGAGAGAGAGAGAGAGAGAGAGAGAGAGACTAAGAGGCGGTGGTAATAATGGGCAACGTGAAAGCACCGCTATAGCTGTCCTTCTTACCAGTATTATATTTTTCTTATTCCCATGAATTCTGAATTACCACGATTTCTGTAGTCTATCTTAAATAGTGTATCATAAATATTGTATGTCCTTTAACATATTTTTCATATCAATTTCTATGAATTCCATATCCCCTCACTTTTCCCCCGATCGCACTGCAATTAATATTGATTATCCGCAGCGCACTAAAGAAATTATTACTTTGGCTTGACATGATAGAATCTCGGGATAGAATCAAGTTTTAGAAAAGTTCTTGATGCTTTTATTTCTTTTTATTGACTTATATATTGAGGAGGCTTGAGCTCATTTCAGCTAACCTGCACTATAAAAATGGCTCAAAATGTCATATTGATGGCGTATACAGGGCTGCACATTCTAAATTATAAAGTCACCAACTCTCAACA